TTACAGTTTCACAGATCCTTTTAGCCATCACCATTAAAATAATAATGAAACAGACTGGCATATGTTTTGAGGATCAGAGAAATTATTCAGTGTTTTTCTTTTATTTAATGTTCCTATATTAACTGCATCAGATCTTTAACATGTTACTGTGTATCCTGATTGAAGTCTTTCCTCAGTCTGTAAAGGAAAACTCTGTGGAAACATGATCTTGGCTGCTTTGATTCTCCTACTCTTATTTGATTTCCATATTTTTGCTTCATATGTCTTGGTTTGCATTTAATCTTATTTGTGAGGTGCTTTTGTTCTTTAGTCTGCATTTCATCTCCTTTTTATGTCCACTGCTCTAGTGCTTCTTGTCCCTCTTTTCATATCTTGCCATGTAATTGTCGTAACAGATATAATTTTAGTGGTGTTAGACTTCTGAATGCATGAGGACAATGAAGGTGTCATAAAATATTTTACAAATGCTGTTTGAGGTCATGTGCTTGCAAGTAATGTTTAGTTTAAAATTCAGCAGCTCACATTGCAATGCGTAGTTTTTAAATCGATGCTGCGTGCAGTCCTCGAGTTCAGATTAATGCTGTTCAATTTGCAGCATTTCCGGTGGTGAAATACCCTCACCTGCTGGCTGTTAGTGCATTTGCCACATCTGATGTTTTGTGTTCATCTTATTGAGATAAAGTTTTATTCTGCCAGCTGTAATCAGAGGCATCAGATTTGGGCTGTATCAAGAAAATAAATTAAGTACAAGCTTTTAAATCTTGTACATTCAGAAAGTAACTTCCTGCAGTCTTGCTGGCTGATCCAGAATCACAGAAGCCATGCGATGATTGTGCTAATAAAAAGCCTTATTTTTAAATATTAACTTTCTTATACTCTCCACTGAAGATTGTCGGAACTCTCGGTAACTGGGTAAATCATCACCTTGACATTTTATTGAGTTGAGTCTAAGATCTTTCCATTACCATGATAGTGGGGTGTATGATTCTAATTTTTTTCTGACTATGTAACCTCAGCATTTGAAACAGCACAGTCATAAAATTTGGAGCTTGTCAAATCATATAGAGAACAAACAAGGTTAAGGCAGTGCTTTCTGTTTTCCAGATGTCGGTGAAGAAACTGCTCCTTCAAAGCGGTGACTGGCGTCAGAATTGTACAAGACTATGTCTTTGTGCAAGTATACATTAATACTGGTTGGTTCTGTAGCACTAAGTCTTGTTTTGATGCTCTGTTGGGTTCTGGTCTATTGGCCACCTGGCAAAACTCTGGCCTGTGCCATTAATGTTTATAATTTTGAGTGTTATTCTTTTTAAAGAAATAAAATACAGTTACTTTGTAGTGTATCACTCTGGCTCTCTCGACGCAAATGCATTGGGTTCAGTAGCTTGCTCTTTGTCTCATTTAGATGGTATGTTAGTTAACTACCCCTCAAACTTGCAGCTAAGTTCAGGGGAATGTAAGGGCAAGTCATTTGTCTGCAAACATTCTTAGTTTCTAGAGGATGCTGATTGCTTTCTCCTTCAAATGAACTCGCAGTTTGGTGGATGTTGGTTGTATCTCCTGGCACAATATTCTGATCCTCATAAAGTAGATCAAAATTTTTAAGAAGCTAACAGTCAAGAAACTCTGTGACTTTTACTGTTCCTGAATATTTAGAAGAGCCAGAATCTGGACCCAGTCCATACCCTACTTCTTTAAGAATGTTTTTTATTCCATATTATCCTCGCTTCTGTGTGTACTTCTTCCAAATGCTTTCTCCTCCCTTCAAGTTTTCCAACTTCCCTATTGTATGCATTTCACACCTCTCCCTACATACCACAAGTCCTGTCCAGCTGAACCTCTTTTGCATTTAATCACACTAATAACTTTAGGTGAAGAGCACAAATTGTAGAGCCCTCATTGTCTTCTCCAGTCTTTGTGTTTTTGCTTACGTCAACATATTCCCCTCAGAACTGTTCTCAGACACGTCAATCTGAGTTCTTCCCACACAGGTTTGTATATTTACATGTCTACATCAGGGAGTGAAAAACGAAGGATTCTTAGCTTACTGTGTGCAACAGTTAAAAAAGTCCCAGTGACATTGGTGACCTGGTAGGCAAGTGAAATGTGTATACATAACCCCTGAGTGAGGATTTGGACTTTAAAGGTATTTTTCACATATTTGTTGATGTCCACTGTCCATAATATTATTCTATTATTATTATTGTTCATTATTTTAAACCTTCCACATGTTAATGAACTTCAGGCTCCATAAAGAAAGTGGACTATTCTATGAACAAGCTGAGTAAAAATTGGCTTTTCAAGGAATATCAGTGAGTGAGTGTTTTAAAGTATTACTGATAAAGTTTACATATTACAACAAGCATGACATATTTCAATCTGCCAGTAGTTCAGCATATTACAACCAAGACTGCATATGTCACAGAGACTTCTTATATACAGTATACCTGAGTCAGATACATCTGCCACAATCAGAAGTTGCACAAGTGTGTAGGTGAATGGGGCTAATGGTAAATGCAAAAACTGGAGCTAACTTGTTTAATAATTGTTTCAGCTCAAAAATTGTAGTATGCAGGTCGGGCAAGGAACACTTTTAATATATGCAGTTAATCAGGGCATGTTTATTTAGGACAAATCTTAAAGAACAAAACTTTTTAACTTTACGTGGAACTTTGCCATGTATTAAACTGAATGTGCAACAGTTGAATTCATGTTTGCTTTCGGGTTTTCAAATAAATTTAAATAGCATGAAGTGCAATGTAATGTTTGTTCTTTTTTGTCACAATACCAAGTTGACATGTAGGTAATTATCACAATAGGCAACTTTAAGTAAGGGTTGAGTCAGTCACAGTTGCTCAAGGTAAAAGTTAAGTCAGCGACGACAATTTTAGCATACATAGGATGGCAACGAATCTCGTAGTCACAGTTGATAGCAGCTTGCTCGTAGTGACGGGTTATGTTTGCAAGTGTTCATATTTAGATTAATTGTGGTTTTGAAGTTCTAAATACTAATAATGCAGATGTTGTGACATTGAATAAGGAATATCAGATCTATAACAATGTAGTTAATTTAGATTAAGTGTACAAATTTTAACTTGATTTAATGTCACAATTGATAATATGAAATCGAACTTTCAATTGATCTCGTGATGTAACTTCCGCTGATTTCAGTGGTCCATGATATTTGGTGTGTTGTCCGTTTAGTTTTGTGTGATATAGTATTGGAGACCAGTCACCAAAACGGCTTCTTTATTTTCATAATAGACCTGTTCTGATGTAAAGTAAGGATTAAAATACCTTAAAAATGGCTCGATACGGGCAACGGCCTGAAAATGCTTTGAAAAGGGCTAATGGTAAGTCTGAAACATCGTGTTCCCAGCAATATGGAAGTCGAACATGCTTTGGATGAGTACCAGATTTTATAGGATACGGCTGTATGAATTAATGCGATATGTTAATTTGTGACGTATTCTTTCTGACATAGCATTAGTGACAATAAGTTGCCCAGAATTGTATTTTATTTTATATTGGACTATTTGCGTATAGTAGAAATAAGCCGATTATATAGAACATGTCATATAGGTGGTGGTTATAGACATCTTGTGATACAGTACATTATCCCTAAAGTAAGCTCGGCATGTTTTGCTATGAGGGCAGTGGCAGCACTCATGAAAACAGAAACTTTAAAATTAGTTATTTTGCTTACTTCCATTCCATCATGTCATATGGAATCATTTTTTGGGGAAATTAAACGGACAGCAAAAAATTGACAGTGAAACCACGGTTCCGGAGAATTTGACGTAAATACGTCTCTCTATTTAATTTATATTTACGTCTTTGTAATGTAAAATAGCGAAATGTAATGTAATGTTATCTTCAATGTCATCCATCTTGTTACGAAACGGATTGTTGACGGGAATAATATAACACAACAATGCCGAGTAAACAGATGACGTTTCCTAGGTAACATAACAATGCACGCAAGCTAACCACTTTTGTCGATTTGTTGATACCGATCTTACACATTTTCCTTACACTTTTTTGCTGAATGACCCTTCCATATAGACGTATTTACGTCAAAAAGTATTTTACATTTGAAAGAGGTTCATTAGAATAATGGCAGGCACTAAAAGGAGAGACTCTTGTAGTGAATCATGTAAGGTTTAATATTCTTCCACTACCCAGTGAATTCTTGCTCTCACTATTATCATTTGTAGTGGATAACACAGAAAATTTTCAAGCAAATTCAGATATCCGCAATATAAGAACAAGATACAGATACAATCTTCATGTGTCAAATTCTAACCTCAGTAAATATCAAAAAGGAGTTTACTATACCACAATTAAGTTATTCAATAATTTTGCACCTACTATCAAAAGTTTAAATCACTCCTACTCAGTAGAAAAATTTATAAATACATGTAAGTAATAATGGTGATGGTTTCTCATCAGAATGTTTTGTGTGTTCCTTTTTCCCCCACAATGAATAACAGTAATGATTAAGAATTTACTGGCAAAGGGAAGAAGTGTATTAGTTGACAACAAGACAGATTTTAATGGTTTTTATTATTGTAATGATTTTCTGTTGGTTGTTAAATATCGTTTTATGTCTCTTTCCAATTTCCTAGGGAATGCCCATCAGTGTTGTAATTTCTGGATTAACATTATTTTGTTTCAAAACTAACGAAGCCTGAATAAGAAAATGTTGTAAATGTTCATCAGGATGCTCACATGGCTGTTGAAAGTTTTAAGTTTGTTTGAGCTGTGACTACCACCACATAAATATGGTGCTAGTGTTTGCATGTTAATATTTTAGTGTTCATTAAGCGTACTGTAATTGAATTGGTCATAGTGAAGTTTTATCTCTGTCTGTTGGCAACACATGATGAACGTGTGAGAAGTTAACAATGTTGTACAGGAATTTTGCATATTTATGTTCGAAATTCTGCTAGATAAGTGTAGCTCAATATGTACTTTGCATGACAACTTTAATAGGGGATTTTCATGAGAATGTTATATGTTAAAAGCAGTAGTTGTGGAATTTTCTGCATTCCGTGTTTGCTATACTATTGGCTTGGCATGGCAAAAATACAAATCACTTAACAGTTGGTAGGTTCAGTATTTCATTAGAAGCAAACAAATGGTTTTGTAGTTGAAAGGAGTGATACTCAGTTTGCTCCACAGATGTTTCCAATATATCACATTGTATTAAAATAACACACAGTTACTTTTACAGACAAGTGAATGTGTGAAAGACAGTACCGCTATATTATAACTGGTAACATGTACAGTAGGGCACCGCATATACGGCAGGTTAGGGACCAGACCCCCGCCGAAAAGCGGATCTTTGGCTTTTTTCAATTGCAAATGCATATCAAAGCCTAATAAGATGTTTACACTGTCATATAGTATGTGTACAATAGCGCTAGGCCTAAAAAACGATATGAAAGTAAAATGAATATCAGTAGTAGCCGTAAACAGACTGAATGAGCGACGAGAAAGTGGCGCCGGATGTGCACTTCTCTGACTCACGTGGGGCATTTGCACACAATTGAAAAGCGCCATATTAGCGGATCGCCGAAAAGCGGGACCCTACTGTAGAAGCTTATTACTGATTTGTGTTCTCATTTCTAATAATTTGTTGCAGTTAGCTCTACCATTTTCCTGGAACAGGTGATTGTATAATTAAAAATAATTTTGTATGTTCTTTGTTGCAGAGTTCATAGAGGTGGGCAAACCAGCTCGTGCTTTGGACACATTGTATGAAGTTTTTCGCAATAAGAAATGGGCTTACAGCTGGAGCGAGAGTGTGCTGGAGCCGATCATGTTCAAGTACTTGGACCTGTGTGTGGAGCTGAAAAAGTCCCACATAGCCAAGGAGGGTTTGTTTCAGTACCGCAACATGTTCCAGTCGGTGAGTTGGCCCCGTATTTATTGTACTGAGCTTTTATATGTGAGCAGAGCCGTGATTTATGCAGAGTTCACATCATTCGCTATTTGTATACTGGACCGACCCTGCCTCCTTGCTACTTCCACTTTCACTTTCAAATATTTTCCCCAGGTGCCTGAAAGTGCACGTGAATCTGAAGCTGAAACCTGTGAGGTTTGCCTTTGCGTTAACATGTGGCTACAATATGGAAGATTCCCATGTCATGGGGCATTGGGATTTTTCGTGGTATTTCTCAGACTTTCCAAATGATGTATATAGTCCCTTGTATTAGGCTGTAATCCTGCATTTCATGTAGTACTAAGAAACTTCAGAGTTGCATGAAGTGTCATAAATTATTAATCCATTAGTTCGTTGCATACAAACCAGGTGAACCCAGTCAGCATTTTTAGTTTTCATGCACCAAAGAAAAGTTGCATTCTTTGAGCCTGTGTAACTGCTTGAAAAGTATACATAAAAAATGAAAAGAGTTGGATTGTGAGTGGAAAGTGTTTAAGCTACACACATCTTGACAACTTCAAGTATAAATTTCTTCTGGGGGATCCTTGGTATGGTATGTGGATGTGCGATGAAGTTCGCTTTTTCATGTTTGTGCTGGTGTAGGTGAACGTCTCTTCATTGGAGAACGTTATACGTGGCTACTTGAGGACGGCTGAAGAGAGAACAGAGTCTGCGCGTGAGCAATCACAGCAGGCCGTGATTGATATCGACGACCTAGACATGCTGGCCACCCCTGAGAGCATCCTCCTGAGGTGAGTTCTCAGTTGAAGGCTGAGTGGCCATTTCATTTGGTTTGTGTGATCTGGTTGAAGTGTAGAACAGAGCCCAAATTTCCTAGTATATAACTAGACGTACATGCATATGGGAAAAGTACCTTATGCCATAAGCCACCGTATTGCAGGAGATGCTTCATTTATTCCAAACCCTTACAAGTCTACAATGTCAACAGATTTGTTATGGAATTCTTCTCGAATGCCAGTACTTTCTTTTTTAACTTCTAGTTAATGTGTGTTCTGCTGGATTTCTCCTTTTTTGGGGGTGAGATTCTTACTGCATGAGGTTTACAGGTATCCAAGTTTTTGTGTGGTCTTATTTATCATATTTTTTCTGCTGTGTTGTAGATTCATTATTCCTACCTTTAACGGACGTAGGTCAGTCAGTGTAGTGCCCAACTATGGACTGGATGACCAGGGTTTGATTCCTGCCAGGGACACATGATTTTCCTCTTGGCTACCAAATCCAACCCAGGTCTCGGACCCACCCAGCCTCCCATCCAGTTGGTAGCTCAGGTCCTTTTCTTGGGGGTAAAACAACCAGGGCATAAATTTACCACTATCCCAGCAGTTGAATATGTTGCAGTGCTGTAAGTGGGGAGGATGCCCAGGACCGCAGTGACCGCACGATTCTCACTCCGTGGGTCAAGTTTCTTTGGGAGTCATACTGTCAGTGTTTGGAGCTGCTGCGCACTAATGCGCATGTGGAGACCCTGTATCATGACATAGCCCGCATGGTAAGTGTGCTCAAAGGAACTGCTGTAAACATAAATTATTATGTCCACAATTAAACACCTTTTTCACATGCAACTCTTTGGGTGGTGCTTCGGTGGAAACTGAGAAATGTTGCTATGTACCATTTTGTGTGGTTACAGGCGTTCTCCTTCTGCTTGAAGTATAACCGCAAGACAGAGTTTCGGAAGCTGTGCGACAAGCTACGCAAACACTTGGAGGACATCGGCAAGCTGCCTGCGCAGACGGCCAACGTGAGCATTCATAAGCCTGAGACGCAGCAACTCAACCTGGACACACGCCTTGTGCTGTTGGACTCGGCCATACAGATGGAGCTGTGGCAGGTACGAGCATACTTCAGCCACATGTTTCATGCTAAATCATGCCAGTTTCTGTTTGGTAGAGGTGGACATTTTTAGCCCCTGCACATCTGTTCATGAAATTTAATTTTCACTTCCATGATGGCAATTCACAGGATTTTGAGGTGATTAACATGTGTGATGTTTGTTATTGAATGGGGTTGTAGCATTGCCAGAGATCATGTCCGACACTTTGTCAATCGGTGAGATTCTTCTGGTATGCAAGAGCTGGCTCTGAATGGAAAATGTTCATCCCAAATGAAAGATCATTCAAACTTTTTCAAGGCCAAGACAAGATACAAATAGAATATGCTTGGGTTTTCATGCAAGGATACAGAAAGAATGAAGTTCTTGGTATTGATGTCAAGTACCACTCCAAGCCATTACAAATTGTATTCACCGCATTTAAAAAAAGATCTCAAACAGGTTTACAGAATTGCAGTGGGTGACTGCTATAGCAGTCTGGAGCTATTTGGTTTACTATTCTAACTTGAAAGAAATCAGTAGGAAAGGAGATATCGTGGGAAGGAAACTGAAGGAAGGAGAAGTGGCAGCCCCCTTCAGAAGAAAGCTAAAGGCTCTGAAATGGAAGGATAAGAGATGTTTCCGTGCTGAGCAGCATACATAATGAAGAAATGCAAATTGTGCGTGACAAGAAAGGTAGAGAGAAGCAAAAGCCGAAAGTGAGTAATTGTCTGCAGTAGCAACTCCGTCAGAGGGAAAGTACTGAAAGTTATGCCAAGTGCTTCCATATCCCTTTTACTTCATTTATTGATCCAGCTGTCATTTGTCATCTTATAGTCTGAGGTACAGACAGCATCATTAAATAAATCACAAATCCAGTTGCTCATCCCATCTGTACCTTCCGTGCGCAACGTAAATTTGTGGCTTTAGGTCTCTCGCTTCTCGCAGCTAATGCTGTCCACTGCGGTAAAGAAATGCGGTCGAAACTGTCTTTTTAATTTGGGGCCAGACTCCTCCCTCTTTAAACAGTTCCTCATCTGATCTCTGTTGGCATTACCTTTGACTTAATGCAACACAAGGCCTCCATTCGATATACGCCACTGCACTGTCACCAGGTGTTGGCCACCTCCTGCTCACGATATGTGTTGCAGTGCTTCCAGTTTTGCAACCCTCCAGTCACTGTGGGCCACGTCCATCCAGGCTGAAACTTCTGCTTTGACTTAGTTTTTCAGACAGAAGGAACAAATTCTTATTTTATTGAAGCAGCTTCTGTATAGGATTGGTGCTCACCTTGTCACAGGAGGCATACAAAGCCATTGAGGACATTCATGGGCTGATGAACCTGTCGAAGAAGCTGCCAGTTCCGAAGACCATGGCAAACTACTATCAGAAGCTGGCCATGGTGTTCTGGAAAGCTGGCAATTACCTGTTCCATGCTGCTGCCCTCTTCAAGCTGTTCCAGCTCTCAAAGGAGATGAAGAAGAACATCACATCTGAAGAACTGCAAAGGTGAGCACTTCATCAGATATTACCTGCTAAGATCACAAGTTCACACGAAGAAAAATCAACTTCCATTTCATAAAACACAACAGAGTATTTAACTTACGAAAATTGACAATACCAATTGTATATTTTTAGTATTTTGTGGTAGCTCCCTCTTTAGTGAGTTAATTTCCAGCACAGAGTGGTTTTATGGGATCTGATTGTTATTTCGCAGGATGGCATGCCGGGTGCTTCTCTCCACCTTGTCCATCCCACTTCCATCTGCTCACCCAGAGTTTGATAGATTTATCGAGACAGACAAGAGTCCCTTGGAGAAGGCTCAACGCTTGGCTGTTCTGCTTGGACTATCGCAGCCTCCGACCAGAGCGTCACTTTTGAAAGACATTGTGAGTTGAGAAATCTGATATTTTCTGTATCAGACTAAATATAAGCACATGTGTATCACAGTCCAGTGATGACTCTTCTGAATAACTGCGTATAAGCCATACCTTGGCTTTCGAAGCACTTATTTTGGGAAACGATGTGACTTGTATTAATTAACCACACGTTCAATTTTAGGTGTTCAAGGGGGAGAGAGATGTAAAATGGTAGGCAGATTACCATAATGCAGTGTTCTTAGATCACTTCTGAAGCTTGAAATGTATATACAGTAGGGCCCCGCCTTTCGACGATCTGCTAATACGGCGCTTTTCAATTGCGTGCAAATGCCCCACGCGCTCAACAGCTGAGTTAGAGAAGTGCGTCCGGCGCCATTTTCTCGTCGCTCATTCTGTCTGTTTACGGCTACTACTGATATTCATTTTACTTTCATATCGTTTTTTAGGCCTAGCACTATTGTGCACATACTATATGACAGTGTAAACATCTTATTAGGCTTTGATATTCATTTGCAATTGAAAAAAGGCAAAGGTCCACTTTTCAGAGGGCGGGTCTGGTCCCTAACCTGCTGTATATGCGGTGCCCTACTGTATTTTAGTTGATGTACTCTGCATTTAGTCATTGCTCGTCTTGAACATGTTCAGCCTACATCTCATTTGCTCACCGAGACTCTTGGCTTGCGACGGTTAACTTGCTTGTATTTAAGTATGAGGTTTCTCATTCTGCCATTCAACTGCAGGTGCGTGTGAACGTGGTGTCATTGGCATCGCCTCGTCTGCAGGAGCTGTATACGTGGCTGGAGGTAGAGTTCCACCCCCTGCAACTGTGTTCACGTGTGCATAGTGCCGTAGAGGAGCTGCGTGCAGATGAGAGCTCGCTCCAGCAGTATGTGCCTGCACTTCAGGATGTGACACTTGTGCGACTCATCAGACAAGTGTCTCAGGTCTACCAGACAATTGAGATCGCCCGCCTTCTGGAGCTTGCGCGCTTTGCATCTGCATTCCACCTCGAGCGCCTGCTGGTGGACTGTGTGCGCCACAATGATATGCAGGTCACAGAAATGTTACTGTTAATTTTGACAGCTGTTCCATTGCCCTATCACACTGGTTGTCAGATACAAACAAGATGAGTAATTTAGACGTATCTGAAATTTGTTCTGGCCCAGTGTTCTGTTTGCTCTCTTATACCCTTCCTTCCCCCCCTTTTCTCTCCCTCTCTTCCCCCCCATTATTGTGGTAATGTTGCATTGCATAGCATGGAAAAGCTACCGACTTTCAATTCTTCTATGTGCAACGGAAGGAAGAGGGGCTGTGTATATGTATATCTAGAGACTTATGGGGTGAAGGAGGAAGGAGGAAAGATAGCGTCTGCCTTTAACAATCCAGACTTACTGCATTCCTTGCAAGTCTCAAGATTACAGTCGTGGACTGTATTATGAGATGTATTACGCCGCTCCTCAGACCCCAGTGTGTCTTTAGATAAGCTTCAACATATGCAGTTGATAAAGCCTTGTAAAATAATGAGTGAGAAGGAAAGGTAATTGTGGCCTCTTACAGATCCGAATCGACCATGGGGCCAAGTGCATCCATTTTGGCATGGATTTATCAGAGTCACAGCGGGAGGACAAGCCAGAGGGCCCTACACTGCAGAGCATGCCCAGCGAGCAGGTCCGAAACCAGCTGGTCAATATGGCCACAGTTCTCCATCGTGCCATGGCTACAATCAACCCAAACAAGAAAAGAGTGGGTATCGTACTGCATCCTTGCTCAACATGTTGTATCTTCATTTACAGGTTAGGTTGCTAGTAGTGCGTAGGAGGATTGGTGCCTCTCACAGCAGTGTGCAGTGATGAGTGAGATCTTCAACACGAATATTTTTCTGGGTGTGACAAGCATGGGGGAGTCTCATATTCCTTCATAACGTTTTATGAATAGTTCTGGACAGAAACAGCTTTCAAGGTGTAGCGAGAAGAGTAGTATGAAAACAGACATTGGGCTGGCAAGTGTGATGAATTTTGAAGATAATTTTATCAGGATGATTGTTCCAGTGCTGTTTGTAGATCTAAAATTATGTAATTTTTCTGTGTTTTGTTTAGCTGAAAAATACTCCTCAGCACTTTTGTTTTCAAACCACCCTTTATCTGTTTTTCCATAAATGAGATGGGCCAAGTTTTTCACCCATACAGAATAAGAGGTTGATTAACAGTCATTACTATTTGTTAAGTTTGTTCCTTGCCAGCACAATGAAGGCCAGTGACTTTGTATGGGGAAATCATCATCAAGTGATTGTTAATGTTTATACTCAGTGATGTCTGTTGTGTGCACAGCTGGAGCGGGAGAAGCTGCGTGTGCAGATGGTGATGCAGTATCAGGAGACGAAGTCCCAGGAACACCATAGCATCCTGGCACGTCATAAGATCATTGAGGACCGGAAAGAGTATTTAGAGAGGCTGAACACCGTGCGGGTGGGTACAGAGAGGCTTAGTGTTGAAGACCCTGGCCTCCTTCAGTACACTACCTAGAAATGGGCACAACATTTTTTTTCAGTTCATTCTTCTTATACAGATGACTTTTCTCACACAGGAATGTATCTTTGACTTCAGAAAATTTTCAGAGAAATCACTTGGTACAGAGCAATAGCGTATTGTTATGGAGTTTTGCAAATTTGATCTGACATATTTTTCAGGCCACTTATTTTAAAGATTAATTTTTACTGTGTAGTTATAAATATTGTGACATTGTGTGTTTCAGGAAGAGGAGGAGGCACGGAGACAGGAGGAGCAGGCCCGCCAACAGATGTTGCAAGAGCAGAAGCGCCTGGAGCTGGAGCGGGAAGAACGTGAGCGCAAACGTCAGGAGAACGAGATCCAACAGATAAAGGACCGACATCTCAAGGAGAAAATGCAGCAGATATCACAGACATCTCATGGGCAGAAGATTCTGAAGAAGTTGAATGAGGACGTAGGTCACCAGAGCTTTATCGCCTTGCTTTTTTTTATCCTTTCAGTGTGTGCCACCGAGAGTTTTGTAGCTACTGGATTTTGCAACTGTTTGTGTGTAAGGTTGGATCCTATTGAGGCTTTTTCTTGGCTTCATGAGCTTGTCTTGTTATTTGTCTGTCGTAAAATAATGGATTCTTTTGTGTCCCACTGCAATAGACTCTCCGTCATGTGGGGTTTCACATTGTAATATAAAGAGAATGAGGAAATACTCCTGTTTCTGTAGTCTAGAAACATTTCACAGTAATTCTACTGAAAAGAGTTTGTCTATTTGCTGATGTTGGGATATGTGATGTCTTGTTGTAAGTTATAAAACAAGAAACATAACACAACAAGACAGCTCTAATACCCACTACTAATAACAGAAACTTGACGTCTTCATAAAACTTGTGCGCTGTTATGAGGGCACCCATTTTTTAGATAATTAATTTGTAAAAAAATTATCTTATATCCATTGTTTTCTTTGGAGCATGTTTTCTCGTCGCATAAAAAAGTCTATGAAAGAATAAATGCATCATTGCATTCCATATCTTTTTTTAAATATTTTCCTGTTTGGTGTGCTAGTGTTCTGTTCATAACACACGACCTAGAAGGGTCATTTCACATTTCTTTTCTGATGCCTGTTCTCATCGAGAGAAAGTACATTGGTGTGTGTTATTATTTGTCATCTAGGATATCAAAGATGCTGAACAGATTGCTGCCCGAGAAGCGGAGGAACTGCAGAAGGAACGGCGGGAGTTGTTACAGAAACTGAAGTCGCAAGAGAAGAAGGTGGATTATTTTGAAAGAGCCAAGCGCCTAGAGGAAATACCACTTTTGCAGAAGGCGTTTGAGGAAAAGCAGGTATGACGAGGAACAAATACGGTGTTGGTGATCGCTCATCAGACATGAAGCAGTGACCTTGCAGTAATAGGTTTGTTTTCTGTTACGATTTATTTATTCATTTAAAGGTTCAGGACCGCAAATTCTGGGAACAGCTCGAGTCTGAACGCATCCAAGAGGCGGTGGCTGAGCGGGAAGTGGCTGTTCAGCATCGTGTGCGTCTCGCCCGCATGAAGGCAGACAAAGACATGTTCCTGGAGAAATTGAAGACAGAGCGCAAGACGGTCTATCAGGTGAGGCTGGCTTCGTGTCATCTGGGCTGTGAATGCCATAATTTCATTTTCAGTGTTCGGTTCATGATGTTACAATTTCAGTATCTCCATGACTCTTTATAACAAGCATGAATCATGTTTAGAATTGTTCTTACTTCTTCATAGTGCACAGTAAGGAGCAGTTCGGTATTCTCGTACTGTTGCAGCCAGTTTTCCAGTGTTGTCATAACACAAAGCTTGCAGCACCAAACATGTAAAATGAAGCGAACGAGGTATTGAGAAAGATTTTCAGTTTGTGAGTCATATGATGTTAGCTTAAAAATTAAGTAGATGTTGATAATCATTATCTGTTGATATTTCCATCATTGTTGGTCTTTTAATCACAAAATTTGCTCTGTTCTCTCTTGAGCACGTCTGCTCTTATCATACTTTCTCTTAAATGTCTTTTCTTACTTGGTGTCTGAAGTAATCATTGATTTCGTGGTAGGTAGGATATTTTATGGTTACCTTTGTGTTGATTAGGATTTGTAAATTAACCACTGATGGGATAAGTAGGTCTTTCCATTGTGCAGCTGAAATGAGAAAGTGAGCTTTGTTTGATTTCCCCTCTCCAATCATGTGGGCCCACACCGAGCAGGAATTGAGGCTGGTTAATTGTGGAACATTTAGCTTTCCTGATGCTTACTCTTGCATGTGTGCATAGGAAAAAGTAAATGAATTTGAGAAGGTGCTAGAGGAGGAACGTAAGAAGCGTCTGGCAGAGAGGAAAGTGCGCCGCAAAGAGGAGATGAGGGCCAAGTGGCTGAAGGAGCGGGAGGAGGAAGAAGAAAGGAAGCGGGAGGAAGAGCAGAGGCTACAGGAAGAGGAGGCTCGAAGGAAACAGGAGGAGGAGGAGCAGAAAAGGAAGATTCGCAAGGAAATCGAGGCTGAGGAATACAGGTGCGTATAGTAGGCAGACAAGGCGGTCCCTTCTCTTTGCTAGACATGCCAGTGATTGAAGATGAATTGTCAACTTCCTTTATCCTCCAAAAGAAGTGATAGCTTCCCAGTATGTGCACATGTCTAGGGTGATTCAGGGGCACTAGTGTTGCTTGAATATAGAAAAAGTGTCAGTTGCATGACATTGTACCAAGTTGTGTTGACACTGGCCACTTTGGTTTTGCACTCCGTGTAATTAATCAAGTCTCAAACAACAAGGCTGTGGATTTATGATGAGTGATGCTGCGGATATCTGATCCATTAAGATGATGGCCAAACTGAGATCCATGGCACTTTGCTTATGATAATTGCTGCCAAGTGTTGCATTTTCCATATTGACCTGTACTCCATTATACAATGTACTGATTGCAGTATATGTCACTACGCTTACACAAGAATTGTCTCCCAGGGCTAAGGGGCAGCACTTTTAGGTTTAGTTTTAAACCAGCTTGAGATGGTAACACTGTTCAGGAAGCAGAAAGAGGTGTTGGATCGCCAGGCGGAGCAGGCTCGTAAGCGTGAACGGGAGGCGGAGGAGAAGAGAATTGAGCAAGAACGAACAACAGTGAGCAACAATTGGCGACGGGGCACAGCGGGGGCAGTGCCACTTCCGCCCTCACAGTTACGGTCTGAACGTGATGCAGACCGTGATGCAACAGATGGCCCGCGGAAGGATCGGGATGGGGACTGGCGCGGCAAGAATTCAGTGCCATCGCCAGCCCCTGCCATAAATCGGGATGAACCACCTCCGCGCTCCAAACCAGAGGCTTGGAGACCCTCCGGTGTGTTTTCAAGTAGATTTGTTTTCAAATATGCATGCTCAAATTGTGTAGGCATTTTCATCAAACACCAAAAACATTGTAGATTTAGGCCTTTGTTTATGACATTGTAGTCAGTGCTTGGGAGAAATATATTCTGTCCATCTTGAAGATGTTCTCTGATACATTCATAGGCACCTACAGTGCTAACACTATGGTATAGATAGAAATTAAAATAGCATGTAATATTTCAGTGGAATTGTAGATACATTTTAGTGAAGACTTACCAAATGAGGAACTTTTCAGACAGGAAAGTTCAGGAAGATGATTCTCTTTTGATCTCAAGCAGAGTACACGAATATGTATATATTGATACAATTTTGTGCAACAAGCCATGACAGTTGTTGAGAATGAGTACCCTGATGACCTGTGTTGATGTTAAAAGGGAAGAAGCAATTGTCACAAGTTATTAATTGGTTGTTACAGCACGTTTGCGCGAGTCTGACGGCAAGCCGGCAGATGCCTGGAGACGGGTTCCTGATGCTGAACGTGACTCCAAAGACAAGAGCACACTCGAACGTGACAGGGACAACCGGGATGTCCGAGATTCCAGGGACGGCAGAGATGTCCGAGATTCAAGGGATGTCGGGGACTCCAGCGATGTTCAAGATTCAAAGGATAACAGGGAGGTGCGAGAGTCAAAGGATGGCAGAGAAATGCGAGATTCAAAGGATAACAGGGAGGTGCGAGAGTCAAAGGATGGCAGAGAAATGCGAGACTCCAGGGACCGAGGAGGTTATGACAGAGACATCAGGGATCGAGCCTCAGACAGGGACAGAGGTTTTGATCGCTTTGAAAGAGACAGAGGCAGTTATGAAAAAGACCGAGGATTTGATCGTGATCGTGAGAGAGGAACTGGCAATGTGAGTACCAAACCATTTTATAAATATTCACTAATTGTTCTTTGTTGTACCTTAGCCCTAGAACATGTTAAGATCTTGCGTCTCTCTTGCTTTGAAGCGTGGCATGTTCGTACTTTTATATATAGACGTGCGCGTACACAAAAAATACCTTAGTTTGTCTGTACTATCTCTCATACATGGTACTGTGTACTTCCTAAAGCAAATTTGATTTTTCATAGAGAATAGGTGTGTGTGGTGTTACAGCAGGTGCATCAGGATAAATGTTTGCTCTCCTCTGTTTCAATGCGACTCGATTTGTTGATGTCTGTTTATAAACAGGGCAAACTTTGTGTTCTTTGATAACTTTTTGTTATTGTTGCAGATGGGAAGCAGCTGGAGGAACAAACCACCTGAGCAAGAGCCGGACGATGACCATCGGGGCATGAGGTGGTGTAGCCTTTACAGTTCACTTCTATCTTTCTATATTTCTTTGTACTGTAGGACTTCAGTTCATGCTTAAGTTGAAATGTAATTCACTATAAAAGTGTAAGAAATTTTGGGTCTTTCTCACTTATGTTTTGTGAAGTACAAAGTGTGAATGGAGAAGACTGAAATTCCAGTTATTGTAAGAGAATTTATATTTCTGTGCTTTTTCTTGTTCCTCTTTGTTCATAAATGTAGTTCACAGGGATGCCAACCTCAGGAAGCAGTGTTGATTAATAGGGTTTCCTTCACAGGCGAGATGACAAGAGGCCTTTGGCCCTTGTAAACCGTAAAGAAGATCGTGGATCATCTGGCAGTTCAGACTGGCGCAAAGATGCGTCTGAGAAACGGCCCACTGAGTCGTCAGGCCCTCGCCGAGGTCTTGGAGATGACCGCAGACGAATGGATGACCGTGGGCGAGGAGAACGTAATATGGGTCCCCGAGAGAACAGACGTAAGTAACAACAGCTGGACTGTATCATAGTCCCTCTACTTTATGGTGACTAGTGATCAGGTCTATGCTATATTGTGCTTTCTCCTGCCACTCGGAGATTACCTCCCCTTCTCTTTCTGACAAGCGAGACAGTAATGGGAATGTAGTTATAATTTACTTCAGTAAGTCAGTAAACAAACTGGGCTAATGCCAAGAAATTGTAAAATTCTTAGTGTTTTTTCAAAAGACCACACAGTGTCATGACTCAGAAGATCAAACACTGGGATTCTGTTATAGCCCGTGCATCAGAGCAGCCTCCAGTGGAGGACGGTGGTGACGATGGGAACTGGCAGAGAGTGAGCCGTCGCTAGTCACACAACCAGTAGGTGAATATTGCTTGTATTTCTTATATAAAAGTTATTTGTGTTGTGTGCAGAGGTGTGGGAGGTCTGTAACTGCACACCCATTTGTTTGGGAATAAAGATGGGTCTCCATGCTGTTGCTGTTCTCTGTCAGATTCGGTATTTCCAATTCTCTTTCTGCCACACTCAGCAGGTCTGTATTTTCCCACGCCACATGTAAATGTTTCCATGCGTTACAATGTATCTTTGCTGAATGTTTTCTGGGCATCATGTGTTAAAATTATTTCACAATATATGCGTAATACACTGAGGCACTGCCTATAACGAGAACTTTATTATAGTGAACAAGCTATTGGATACCTTCCATTTCCTAACAAGTCATGGCCTTTGTTCTGTAACATTTTGAACCAACTGTACTTAACAGTTTTCTTTCTGAAGATGTTTGCAACTAATGGTTGATTGTGCCATGAACTTAACACACTGCGCCTCTGTGGTCTAGAAGAACAACGTCCCAAATGTCTCATGTTACCCCTCCATAGTTTAGCCAGTAAGAGATGTGCGTCATGTGATGCCTCTGGCTTGGCCCACATTTTCATTTTCTCCTGCCTGGATGGTTCACATCTTGCCAGTTGGTCGTACCACTCTTTGGTATTGTGCCAGTAACTATCCTACAGTCTGACGTGTGCTACAGTCTGTGTGGCATTCTGACAGCTGTAGGCAGTAAGTGGTGGTAGCTCCAAGTTTCAGAGAAGGAAACGTAACTAGTGTAAAGCACATGTTTAAATGATCTGCGTAGGCTAGTGATTAAAATTACTATGTTGCAACAGAGCAGGTACTGGGTACTGATCGCATTTGGTGTCTGAAACTGCATTTTAATGCACATCACAGCAGAGGTGTTTAGAAATGCTTGTTTCTTTCAGTGTCAATTAGCTAGTTAACAGGAACTGAAAATTTTGTTGTGATTTTGAGTTGTTTTAATGTTGAGACGTATTCAGCTGTAATTATGGAAAGAAACCGAAATTCTTAGAGTCCGTCAGGAAGTTTGAAGTAAAACCTAACAACTAAGAAATAAAATAAGAAAAAGAAGTTTTATGTAATTTATTACAAATTAAAAAATACATGAAAAATTTCAATTGAACAGTTACCTTATGTAACTGATGCTGGGTAATGTGTCCATTTTCAAGTCAGTGCCCCTCCATTAGCAGGTTCATTTACTGTAACAGTCTGGATTTATGTCACCATTTATACCACCAAGTAACGATCCATCATCCTCCCCGAGGTGCTGTATGCAGTGGATTTTCTTTTTAAAGCCTGAATAGGTTTTATTTGTTTTGCAGCAGTCACCAGCATAAAGTAATTTTACAACTGAATATTCCTGGGAGTTGTCTGTATAGCCAGTATAAACAAAATGGCACACTAATGTATCAGACTTGATTGAAATGCTCAACGGTGCATTCATGTTGCCACAGATGGTGGCTAGTGGGGGTTGTACTTTACCAGGGGAGGATTCCCTTTGGGATTACATAGCGAATTTCTGTCAATATGCTTTCCTGGGTGGTGGTGTACGGACGGCATGAAATTGAGGTTTGACTGCTCTTCATTATTAAGTATTTTAGTGTTGCTAGCTATTATTTATAAAATCAGTAGCATATGTTTATTATTATCTTATATTTAAATTGGAAGTAAAATTACTTACAGAGGCTGCAGTTTATCAACCACTGCCCTTGAACATACAAACTAATGGGAGAAAGCGCTTTGAAGAAATAAGAGTTGTGATTGGTTTTAACTGGCTTAAGTAATCATCTTCTGGGTTCCATAACTGGTAGGGAATAGCTTGACCACCTGAGCAACTATCAGTTTCTAAAGTATCCGCTTAGACAAGTTTGTTAAAAAGTACATTTGCTTCAAGTCTATTGAAGTGTATGATGGTAATTCAAATCGAAACTAGCTATTCGGTAACCACTTCCAAGGTACAGTGGTGCAGTAAAAGGGTAGGAACTGAGAACTGTCTGGTAAGTCATGGTATATGTGAAAAAGTTTACATTAAACACAGCAGGTATTTTAATTAACCCTGCTTTGCGAACACTTCACTGAAAGCTCACTGATTCGTTGGTTTCACAAGACTTGTGTGCAACATACACATTCAGTTGTTCTTCGTACTAATACAACATGATGGCACCGTTGGACTTCTCTTCCATCACTGGCTGTGGTGTCGTCTTCTCACGAGCCTCATGTGTGCCGATGTAGATGGCAGTAATGTTGATGACGTGCACCACTACTGCCCCCACCACAAGCCTGTGAAAATCATCACAGGTAAGAGGATGTTTTGGTAATAGTTCCCAGCAAATGTCACCTCAACAAATACAATAAAATGTGGAAGTTGTGCAGTGTCCAGTATATATATGAACAGAACTTCACACAGAGGCATCACTTGTCTTATGCCTCATTATATATAACATAAGACAAGTTCTGTGGCTCCAACCTGTATGGTGACGAACTGTACAGTGATCCATTTCCATTTCATGTTACTTGTATTATACAAGAAATATCCATCATAAAAGCTGCATTTTTGCAGAGATTGCTGCTGCACAACATTTCAGGATCCTACCCTAACTGTAATACAAAAAGAAAATACAGTCCATATGTTACGGAACTCACCAGAAAGAATAGCCATAGTGTGCCATGTTGGCAGAGCTCCACATGTTGTCTCGGTCCTCTCGACTCATCACGTTGTGCTGCAGCTTCTGGTAGAACTGCACAGCCCAGAGACTGACTGCGCACATGTCAAAGAACACTGTGCACAAACCAGTATATTCATATCTCAAGTTGCATTGATCTGACAAACTAAAATATTTCCTGTGCACAATATTCTGGTACTTTCAATTTCTCTTAAGAACATTACAGTATCCAACATGTTTTATCATCTGTGTAGCTTTGTGGTATTTGCATGGTATTTTACAGAAAACATGAAATATTATCATTAACTATGATGTCGGCTGAATAGAATGTATCATCTCTTCAACCATGGACTACATCGTTGATAATGCTGTTATGAATCAAACACAAAGGCTGAAGTTACATCAGTGAAAATATGAAAATGATCCTCATCTGCTGCTGCTGCATGCATAGTTAAAGTTCCTCAGTGTGCACTCACTTGCCAGAGAGTTCCACAAATAGAGTCCTGGAACTCCAGTAACTGTTCCAATAGGGGTCGTGGCAGTGTTGATTACAGCAAAAATAGCAGACAGACCAGCAAATAGCAGGGCTCCTGCTATGCAGGCGATTGCAGCAACCCACAGCCCATAGAGGAGGAACTCGTGGTCTGTTCGCATCAACTCGAGCACTGCAATTAATTAGTTTCATGTTATATGGCAGCAGGTGTTTTACGACCAAAGTTTGTTGCTCTTATTCTTTCCCCCCATCCAAACTTTAATTAGTGCCCTTGATGTCTACTGTAATTTCTGAATTTCCCATTTATTCATTTCATTTATTTTCAGAAGAAAAATGTCAACATAAAATATTTGGACAATATAGTATAATAGTGCATGATATTTCAGGTCACCACATCAAAGCCATTCAAATATGGGATGGTTACACATCGGACATCTTTCCAGGACAACCCTCAATCTCATGAACATGGTATGAACACATCCACTCATCACCCTGATGATGCAGGCAGTACCTGTGAAACACTGGTAACTTTCTACCACACTATACTGTGCCATGAGGACCTGTAATCTCAGAATTCATGGTCCAACACAACTCAAACTGTCAGTTTTGTCAAGTAGGTTGGAAATACAAAGGTGTGGTTATCCTATTTTAAGTTATTAGGACTGATGACCCAAGACAGATTAAAATTACCCTGAACTTGGGATTGGTGACAATGGGCCTATGGCGACCCTTCAGTGGATGTTAGACCTGTGGCCAAATGACCTTGAGCTGAGTGGATGTACACATAGGCTAAGTTCACTGTGGAGGCAAAATTACTGTAATTTGGACACAGTTTGTGCTTAAATACGACCGATTTTACTTTCTAACATTTAATGTGGGGTAGTCTGCTTGATATTTGTTGCAGAACTGTCACATACAAAATAATGTTTCCACATTTCTTTTGTTTTTACTTAAGGACGCGAAATAAATGGGTTGAACTGTGCAGTGGGCATACTAATGTTATCTTAATTACAAATACTGATGCCTTTGTTTCAATAATAATTTATTTTTTACGTTATCGCCTGAAATGTTGCTGGCGTTTACATCCACTCTCCACGGGATCCTATCGAATTCCTTCTTCATTGTTGACGGTTTCAGATAAAAGTACAGGTGTCTGGCACGCGAGACCCTGGGCAGTCAATCCTTCGCCGTCCTTGATCAAAGAAATCGGGCCAAATTCATATTCGTCATCGTGAGAACCTCAGTTCTCACCGGAATTATAAGTGTTATTTTGTACTGAGAACATTCGTAGAAGGTATCGTTCAACCAAGACAAATGACACATTAATGTGCCGAAACCTGTGACACCAATAGGCCTACCGGTCTGACTACAAATGTTATTAAGCAAACGCACTGGCTGGAAAAGTGGCACAAAAAAGAGGAGACGATGAACAGGAAAGTGTAGCGTTGGTAGCACTGGAGCAGGAAGCGAAACAAGTGGAGCGTGTCTTCCTTCCAGTTAGTTGCTCAGTGGTACGGACAATCTCGTTTCGAGATTTCAACAAGAGGAAAGCATTTTGTAAAGACGTTTTAACGATCGCTTAAAAATGTTCTGCATCATGAGTAGCATACATCAAAGGACGAAGATATGAGGTTCTCACGACGGCGAGAATGAAGATGGCTGTCTTCTGTGTTTTTACATCCTGTAGCAATTTACCGACGTCTCAGAGACAATTGCTGCCTCCATCAACAGGGTGATGATAGAGGCAGAACACATTGTTATTGGACTTAATAACTCGAAAAACCAAAATACGCGAACCCCTAGTAAAAATTTCTTTTGCCATTATATATTATCCACACACAATTTCCCGTCTGAAACGCAGGCGTAAGCCATGCAAATGTAGCAGCACGAAACGCATCGTGAATTTGCCTCAAATTATGTCTGCACACAGCAGTGGCTTCCCCCCCCCCCTTCTTCATAGTGTGACAGGGGACCTTGGCACAGTTATACAGTAGTCCCAAAAGTATGTATACATAGTACCAACTATGGTGGTCGCTTGTCTGTCAGTTGCTCACCGCTGTCAACAGTGCCGCCAAGCTAACTGTGGTCATTTGGAACACCTGCGCTAGATTCTAAAATGCTGCATGCAGTATGTAATGCCTTGGTTCGTTACAATGTATTCATTTTGCTCATTAAATGTGTGTTTACATCTTTCTGGGACGCCGTGTATGTACAGCAGCCAATCGCAGGCGCCCATGACGATTCGCGTCGACAGAATAAAGTTATAACGCAGGCTTTATGTAGATTTAGCGATTCAAAGCTTTATCTGCGTGGGGTATAGGCATGAGTTACTCAGTCACTCTAATCCAGATACACAGACTACTGGGCAGGGCAAAGTCAGGCACAGAAAACAGAAGAGGAAAAACGGACTTGGCACTGATCGATAAACCAACAAACAGCTTCCTTTGCAGAAGCAGTGCCGCGGTTAATTACCGTCCCTGGGTTCGGTTGGGGTCGCTCACGGAATATGCAGTGTTACTTTTGACCCACTCCAACGTCACCACGACACATTTCACAGTATCAATGAGAATTTTACATTTTGCTGATGTTCCACCAAAACGTAAAATTGTCATTGATGTTTCCTGTAATGAAATATTATTGGGCTGATGTAGATATCAAATTTCACGCAAATTGTTCCCGTAACTTTGCTTTTTGTTCGCCACTAAAACTCTGTAGTGTATTTTTACTTGTGTGTTTATATCAAAATAGTAATACAACAGTCGGAGCTCGTGGTTTTCGTCGGTCTCTCCAGAGTGCCTCAACTTAACGATGGGCAGGTTTTACTAACGAGTGTGTCCAACTCACCGCTGACGTCATACGTCCTCCAGCCATAGGCCACGTTCAACTCCTTCTTCCCATCGAACAGTCCGAAGTGGATTCTTCCATCCGATTCCTCCGGGTTCGAGACCCGACGGGCACGTGCTACAATCCAAAACTTGGTTCCCAGTGCTGCCACCACCAGCGCTATTCCCAGACACGACCCCAAAAACGTCACGAAAATCATCCCCCGCCTGAACAGATTCATATTCATACACACAGTTGCACAATTGTCACATAGTTGCTATGGCGACCTACATGGTCGTCTTGCCTCTTGTCCGAGCATTAAGGTCTCCGAAAATGAGCGTAACCATGGCAATCAGCAGGCTCCACGTCGACCTAACGAACATTCAACACGAAACAACTGGCTGGAACTGAGTCAGTGGTGAGGGCATGCCTATAGAGCGCGGCACACAACCAGTCGATAGTTGGTCCGTTACTACTCACCCCCTTGGTATTCACAGCGCGTAACACACCGGAATAGTTCACGTAAAAACCTTTTGGAGAACCTACAAGTCACTTCCTATTTTTTATCGTCTGTCTTTATTCTGTTTGGATTGTATGTTTATGTTTGGGATGAAGATGGAATATTGACACAGTTAATAATATTTGCTTATAGATTAGGGCCCAAACCACTGACGGTTATCGTGTACCGAAATTGCATGTTTATTTTGGGAAAGTTCTATTCCAAAGAGTTATGACCGCTTTTGGAGTAAAACATTTATTTTGTGTCGTATTTTGGTCGAAGATCAATACCATTTGCATTCTACACAAGTGTGAATTATGGCATATCACATTCCGGTGACTATAGAAATGACGAACAAAAGACGGTTGGACCAGTTACACCTGACAGGCCTTCACATAGACGGCAGCACTAACCAGCCTTATTGAAATTCCTCAGTTTTGCCAACAGTTGGATTTTGTAAGTGATAGCAGTGAGCAACTGACTGAGTGGCTGCCATAGTTGTTGTGTTGCATGTGCGTTCTATAGATTCATGAGACAACGTTAGTGTTTGATGTTTTCTGTCGCAACTTGCGCGAGACTTATCTCGTATGATATGACCATCATCAGTCGTTACCTTCGTAGCAGTTATTTCTTTAATCTGTTTACCTGTTCGAAACCAACAAAAAGTGTTGAACATGTGAGAGCTCATATTTTCAGCGTAGTTGCATGAAGTAAGAATGTTTCTTCTGAGTGAGTTTGAGGTTAAAGTGGACGTATGTGGAAATAAGTGGCAACTTGACTCCGGTAAATGTCTGTCTCAGAAAATTACATTTGCCATACCAGTTGTATTATCCAGTATTATTGTGTAAACTTCCCCATTTTCAGAAGAATAGTGACTCGGATGTCGCTCAAATGTCGGCAGTGCCGTCACGTTCTCGTGACGCAGGATGACAGGCTGTTGACTCCACATGGCGAACCTGTTGGTGCCATCCAGGGAAACTCCGGTTGTGCAACGCTGGAAGTTGGCGATGTCATGTACTTGCAAGAGGATCTGCTTCCAACCTGGATTGCGGCACTTGTGAACAAGGTCCGTACCTTACACACTTCAGTTTAAAAATACGCCCATTTTTGGAGACAGGGATTGAAGGTGATTCACTGAGGACCCACTGTTTGTCATACATACATCTTTATTACATTCCATGGATTCATAAGATAGTCAGATAACAATAGGATGTGGGAAAAGTCATAATAATAATACAAAACACATTATGAAGTACAACTCATACTATTATATAAATTTCATATAATACAACAAAGGATTCACCTAAAGTAATGATAAGTTACAAATACCCATTACATATGGAAGATAAATTATCAATTATTTGTCAACAATAGAAATTCATCGACAGAGTAAAAGGAGTGTGTAATTAAGTATCTTTTTAATGCTACATTAAATTATGCCTTTTTATTCTGCTTTTGACTACAAAAAAAGTTTGAGTTAAATATATGAATGTTGGTGATTGTATCAAGCATGAAAGTACCCATGTCACATTTCATCCTGTCATTGAAGACAGTATAATCTGAGTGAAGAATGGATAAAAATGAAAAGTGAAAGAAAAAACACATCAATTGGAGCAGACAATCTTACTTGCAGGAGGGTTGGGTGAAAGGACGACTGCACTGTCCAAAATGTCACAGTCGTGTTGGAGGCTTTGACTTTGTGTCAGGACAGAAGTGTGCTTGTGGGCTGTGTGTTCTTCCAGCTGTGCATCTCGTCAGGAGCAAGATGGACCAGGCTGTGAACCTATGTAAGCAGCATGAATAGACACAAGTCACTGCTGTGTAACTTGTGCAGCTGAGTGAGTGTGTTGTGGCGTGCCTCCTGTACTGGTGTGTGTTCTACAGGACTTCTGCTCATCATGGCATCATAGGTCCTTCAACTATCATGGATAGCTGACATTGGTCGACCGCCACCTTGGGAAGTGGTTGAGTGTAATTTCGGCATTTGTTGCAGTTGGAGTCATTTCAGAAGGATGTAGATAGGGCAGGCAGTCTTTTGAAATGACCCCACCTTCAAAATGGCAACTGCAGTATTTGCCAGAAATATTTGGTTAATGCCAAACATTGAAAATGGCTCTTGCATGAAAGCTGAAGTTATACATTGAACTCCACCTGTGAAAACCTATGGATAAGAATTGGTTTGTTGTTTGCAACCCCGCATCAAAAGAAAGTTATACTTCACGGTTGAATTTAATGGCAACATTTCTTTAAACACTGTCAGTGGGAAGTATCAGACAGTATTGGTAGTATAATATTAAAATGTATCTTAGGCTGTGAACTTGCTTTTGTTTGCACAGCAATTGAACTTACTGTTTTGTGTGTCGGGAGTTTTGCATTTTCTTTTGCTGTGCACTTTTTCACTGTCTTCAGGTATCCATTTCTTGGCATCTTGTCTGAGTAATGCTTTCGGTTTCTCCTGTTAGGAGATTTCCTCAGTCTTTTTCGACCACCTAACTGAATGCACTCTTTTCGTAGTTGTTACACGTATCTCTCTCATTACACGGACTGAGTAGTTTGTGTTTGCTGTAGTTATTTATTATTCTCAGTAGTTTGGCACATTTTTTCCTGTGTTTAATACAACTGTTTGACTTTCCTATTGCTGACTCCACAGATGTGCCATTAATGTTTTATTTAGGTAATGTAAGTGTGTAATCCAACAGTGAATTTGAATTCTGCTCATGGGCTAGTGTGCTGGACTCATTTGCAAATGGCCATGTGGTTAAAACACTAGTCAAGCCAGATGTTCATTATTCCTCGAAATTGTAAATATGTTACATTTTTAAATCATAATAATTATTTGTATAGTTTTGGAAGAACTTGTTACTTAAATACAGATTTTGTGTACGTTAGACTTCCAAATGTAACCTCAAAATTGTGCATTGTCACCATATTTGTACTAGTTGACTTGTAAACAATATTTGATACACAATTTCTATGTTGTATTTCCATACAAGATTTGAGACACTTGGCTCCATTGGTTTATTGATTCTCACACACACCAAACTGAAATCCACCACATAATTTTATGTTCTAGAAATTGTATATTTTTTCAGACAAGTGATCAGTTCAGTGTATAAAATATTAGAATGAAAGTACTAAGCATCTGGCACAGAAGTCCATATCCTGCACGTCATTTTTTTTAGGTGCAGAGCTTTATTCTTGAATTTTTTAAAACAGGAAAAGTGTGAAGGCCAGCGAAACTAGGAAGAAGTTTGTGAGGGCAAACATGCGTTACGCGAATGGCGGATGAGGGATTCCTGTATTCTGATGTGTATTTGCTTCACTGAAAGTGTAACACTAAGTTCGGTATATCAGGTGAGATTTCGGGTTGTGATAGTGAAGAGTATTAAGATGGCTGTGTGCCGACAAGTTTGGTCGTTATTGACTGATGTTTCAGAGGAGCGTATTGCTTCCATCATTCATTGCTGAATGGGAATTCTGTATGACCCGGTTAGGTGTCAAACTTCAAGAAGTAATAATACTCTGTTATACTTGTCATCCTCATGTCATATGGAAGGAACTCTGGAAGTAACACTCGTATTGAAAGTTCTGATGTACGTGATAAATAAGAATTTATTATATACAAACCAGCACTGAATCACATAATCACATATTATAACAATTGTTAGTGATAGATATGTTTGTTTTACATTCCACATCTTTGAGTACAAGTGAGGTACTGCCAACCAGAAATAGTTAAAGTAAGGAGGGCAGCTATTTACGGGAAGACACATTTTGCACATGCTTTAAAATGAAACTTCTGTATGTACAGTATTTCTCGAAGCTTGGGTGTTGATGCTTACCATTTCTAGTCCAGGACCCAAGATATCATTCTCCCTTCACATTGATGTTGACGTTGATTAACGTGACCGCGACGCTTTCCTTGACAGCACTCGAAATCTACTTTTTAACCACTTTTTATACTGTTCATACTTCATTGCCTGTAGTTCAGTGAGTTTTAAAGTGTAGATGTGCCACTACAACAAACACATTTTCACCATCGGCATGCACAGTCTTTGCTCTCTGTCCGTTTGAGATTGGCACAGACAAGCCATTGATAGATTCATCGGACCAAACACAGATGTACAGTTCATTTATTTATAGAGTAGCATAACCTTCCCTGTGGAATTAATCTTACAGCCATAGTATCATTATGTTTTGTTAAGATTCTTTTATTACATAATAAGTCCTTAAATCCAGAATGTAAATAAAGAATAATTTTTCTTCCAGGACATGCATGTGTTCTAGGAATAGATTTTACTCCAAAACAGACGTTTACAGTTCTGTCGGCAGCATCAAACAGCTACCATAAAGTAACAGATCAGTACTGCAATGGACACTGCTTTCCTAAATTTACAGAGCAGTCTGTTAAAAATTCATACTCGGGTAAACTACGAGCTCTGCTGCCATTGACAGAGTGAATACAAGCCCTCTGTCATGGAAATAGCTTTTAGTGTTGCGTTAGTTGTGGTGTGCATGAAAACGCCAGTTTGCCTTCACAGATGTGATACAAATTGTAAGTAAAGAAGCGGTCAGTGAATGCCAATTTAAAGAGTGCCGGTAAGTTGCTCTACCAACAAATCTATGGAGAACGTCAAAGCAGTGAGATACGTATCTGTATCTATTTTCAGGTCACCATCTGTCATGTAATTTACCTATAATTTGTAAAATGTAAAAGGCAGAAGTAATTAGGAATCCATGGAATACTTTGGAAGCAGTGTGCACATTGTTAGTATAGAAAGATGATTCCATCTGTGTTCTCCTCCATCTTGATGGTGGGTGCTGGTGGCTCACGAGCCAGCAGATATTTGCGGGCCCCAAGTAAAGACAGGTTGATGATGTGAAGAAATATCACGATGAGAAGTAGCCTGGGAATATAACACAGCAGTCAGCTTCATAATTTGTAAGTTTGCATGCTCTTCAGATGAAAGAAACATTAAGCTCACACAAAATTTTGTTTGGATAGCCTTATGGAAACAGATCACTAGTAACACATACATAAACTGGACGATAATATTAAAATTAATCTTTCGTAAGGGGTTATGAGAATGTGATTCAGGATTTGGTTCTATATCAGTGTTACTAAAGTACACAAATTATTCACCTCCCTTGGGGGTTAAAATTTGGACTGAAATCTTTACCATTCTCTTGGCATTTGTTAAAAGCAACACTCAGTGTGAGGTAACAGTACATACTGTCTTATTTGAACAAGAATATTTCAGTAATTGTGGAGACATGAGCTGCTCTCACCAATAAGACACGCCAAGAGCCGCATCACCCTGTGAGCGGAAGATGCCTGTGATGGTCTCTGAGTAGGCTACATTGTCCGACAGTGTGTCCGCAAACTGTGAGCCCCACAGGATCATTACCAGCAGTGAGCAGCCTCCTGCAAGAATCATATCACACCTCTAACAAAAATGTTACTACTGTATGCAGACAGCCTTATGGCCATCTGCTGCTGTGAGAAGGAAGGAAGGTGTCCCATGAAACTGAAATGGTTTGCAACATCAGCAAGCTGGTTTCATGTGAAGTCTCACACCATTTTCTTTTGTCCAATAGTTTACATGTTGTTGCCATTTTATTTTCCTTCTTATATCAAAATCTCATGACAGAAATTGCATTATTCCAGTTATCTCCTATAACACAGCTTTTCATGATCTACGCTGATGGGGACTCATGATGGTCCCACATCAAAATTCAGCATGGCTGCTGATGTCAAACAACTTCAGTGCCACAGAATCTGACGTTACCTGCAATGCCATTCCACACATACAGACCAAACACTCCCGCTATTGGTTCGACGGGGTTAGTAGTAGTGTTAACCACGGCAAACACTGCTGCCAACACTCCAGCAAGAAGTGCCACTGTCAGGAACAGCACACAGCTGACCCAGAGTCCTGCGTTGATGAACCTTCTGTCGAAGTCTGCAACACATTCATGTTGAGAGTGGTGTGGTGTTATGAGTCACAGAGAAAGCACACGGACAAGAATGACACAGTGCTGCCACTCACTCGTGCTGTTGGTGGCCCCCGCAATATTTGGGCACACAGAGTTCCCCATCCCGTGTAGCAGGTTCTCCAGCTCCTGCTGGCGTGCTTCATCCTCTGTCTGGCAGGACATGAGGCACACGTTCTCCGAAAAGAGGCATGACACTGCAACAGAGAGAATCTACGAGTGGTTCCGGCATTCACGCACAACAATAAAGCAGTTGGTACAGCAGCGACTCAAGAGCAGCAATTCAAATGTTAATCTTAGCTACAGACAAACAAAGCCTTACTAGAGAGCTCCAAATCCACTCCGACAAATCTGTAACCCTCTACATGGCCGACGAACAGCCCATAGTTAATGGCACTCGGATCGAAGGAATCGTCTGGGTCAGAGAGAGTTGCTTCAATCCAGGAACTGGTTGCTAATGATGTGACTAGTAGTGCCACAGCAGCACAAGCACAGATCAGTGTGGCAATGATAAAGCGACGGTGTGTCGTGGCCATGCTAGAAACTGTAACAATACAGATACGGACTTGAGGGAACAGTAAGGACATTACCTCAGAGTGAAATGAGGTAAAGTGACTACAAAGGAACGCAGGCCTTATGAGTTCATAATCCAGGCCATGGTTTCCCTCGGTGCCTCTGCAAAAATGTTGGGAGTGACTTGTAACATAGAGGTTCTCATGGCAGTGAAGACGACTATTGTCCTGGGTTGTGATGCTGTGCAGACTCAGATAAAGTGTGTTTCTCTGAAAGGTTGGTTTTTATCTATGAGTCTACACAATGCCGCAACCCAGATACCAATATTAAAGTTGGCCGTAACCACCTCGTACATAGTCCAGAACTTACATACTGACTTTCCTCAGTTCACACAAATGTTTTGATAGAACCTTGAAATAAATCACGTCCATTTACAAGAGAGTTGTTACCCATTCATAATCCAGACACTATATTGTATTACAGCCCCCCCCCCCCCAAACGCACACAAAATAATACTGTAACCCGATGCGCTTACGTGTATCTGCAACTGCTGAATGTATCTGTTATCTGCTGTTCACTTATCGCCTTGTGACGTGCTACAGATTGCGTAGATAACAATATAATCTGCTGTCAATTTCAAATGCCTTGTACCCTGTGTGGGGAATCAGGCGTAGGAGGCGTAGACCTGACGAACACGTTCCAGATGCTAGCCTCAAGTCCTTTCCGCTGCTACGCAGATGAGAGTGACATATGTGTATAATACAGCGACCACCGTAAGATTTTTCCGTTCGGGAGATATTTTAGTGCAATTAGACGTTACATTCATGAGAGATAAGATATGTGATCGAATATTTCCCTAATTATTGACTAAAATAGTTCAGGTACATTTTGTCACGTATTCCCGTTTGAAGCCTATAACGAGTGGAAAATATACTTTTATGAGGGAAATCTGCGTGCAGAATTGTTAGGTTATTAGAATTGTGAGCGAACGGGAAGCACGTGCGAGGGTGTATGATCAACCATTCTGAAACTGTCGTCTCCTCTGTCGGAAGTATTGTGCTGCAAAATTACGTTCTTTAGGGTTACATTGTCGTTAACATGTACAAATCAGTTTTGCTCTTTTGTATAACGTGAGCCATTTAGTAGGCCGTGAAAGAGTGAATAATCTTTTGTTTCAAAGTGTTTCCATTCTGTGAATGTGGGTAATATTTGGATGTGAATGTGGTGTTTATCGTGGAATTTGAATTAGTTTAAAGGATTTAGGCACGCAGAAGACATCCATGTAGACCAGTTCAGATAATTCGTGTCGAAGAGCTCGCTAACTTGAAACCAACCGGACACCCAAACGAACATTTGATATGCACATATTACGATGTTAATATACACGCTTAAAACTGTCGGATACTTTTTACAAACTCTGTGTACGCCGTCTGTTGATCTCTAAAGTATAGCAACAAAGCAGAATGATCGAGTGTCGTGTGTGTATTTTTGCATCGTCAGTTGTCACCTCGAAAGCATAGAGACATAACGGACATATATTAGGTGCCGCCCAGACAGTGGAAAGTGTCGGATTTCATCTTTGCAGTCTCTTAGGTGTACATACAGGTAAGTTTTAACATCTCTTTCAAGACTTACGAACTTTCTCACAGATATGGAGGACATAATTATTTACTGGGCATAAAAATCCTTTATTGATGTAATTAGTATGTAAGAAACTCCATTTTCTCCAAACATTTCTATAAAAAATGAGGCAATATCAACGAATATGTGAGCCATATTTGAGTAAAGACTGTGTAGTTTATACTTGAATTAGGTTTGATTCCTCCGTCAAAGTTTTTAAGAACTTATTAATCGATATGGACAGCATTATTGTTACTTTAGTACAAAATTGCTGTATCAGTATCATTTGTAGATGCAATATGTATCCAAACAAGTCGGCAGCTGCTCAAATATGGTACTTTGACTGTTGACTTAATATTACGTAGTTATTTAACTTAAGAAGATGACATTTTTTTTCGAGCAGGGCGATATTACAGTTTACGTGGGTGGTACTAACCACATTGACGGACTGGGGACGGAACAACGGGATTATATTTCATTTTGTGAATCGCGTCATACTCTTAGAGCAAGAGGTGACTCATTTTGGAATTGGTACACCAATTCAAACCACTTTACCACGGATTCTATACGATCCTTGCTCTTTCCAAACTTTTCGTATGATTATCTGTTGAGATTAAACATGGATCTCACCTATTTGAAATTTCTTTGCACACTTTGTTAATACGTAGTTCAGCCTCGTTATATTGTATTATAATATGTTTCACAACAATTTCAGTCTTTGAGTCTCCTCGCTGCGGATCTCCTTTAGTGTATGGATTAAGACGGTTCCGTTTATCGTGTAGACTGTTTTAGCAGGCACAGGCGATCCGAAACGTCTTGTATACCAGTTTGAACAGCCTTTGTATTAGGCCGCCCTGCATGAAACCATATCGTTCATCTGGGATATCTTCTATCCTTTTGCTAGATATATAGGACTTCAAATGCCCGCATTCTAGTGCGATGCCCCTGGTTGAGTCTACGCTCTGTTCTTTTCTTATATAATCTGTGAAACAGAACTAGCAAATCTTCAATTTTCTTCTTTCTAAGCACTTATTATATAGCACTTTCGTGTTTGTATATTGTAAGGGACAGGATTTTTTTTACTAGTTTACTTTCTGTACAGACCGGACTTGTTACTTCACGGAATATTATTTGCGGTATTTTGTTACGAGCGTTTCTTTAGGTTCAGAGACTTCAATGTCTCTGTTTTATTTTGTCAGTGACTCTAATGTTTCGTGAAGCAGCCGAAAGGTGGGGTGTGGGTTTCTGAACGAGGTCAGAAGTCATATGATTGATCCACTATGGCTGCAATAAGGATGAGTTTTGAAATTGTTTTGTGCTGTTTTGTCGCTTTATGTGGTTGTTCATATGGAGCAGAATTCGTCCCTGTGTTTATGTGGGAATCTAGCAAACCAACATATTTACAAATCACGTCTCCTGCATTAAAGAAGTACAGTACTGACGACTTCGCAGATTTTTTCGTAAATAAGTTGTCATCATTTGGTAAAAAACCACTTGTATTAGTATTCACAGAAGAAAATTTGAGTGTTGAAGATTTTAGTTGGCAGGATGTGGCGGAGAACTCAGCTTTTCCACATTTAGAAGGTGTAACTGCTACAGCAGCCAATGTAGATTTTATTCCGTCAGTGGAGAGCCCTTTGAGGGCCTTACGGAGGTTGGAGAAACTGGGATACCAGTGGGAGACGGTTAGACACCCGGACAAAATGAAATTCCCGGAGCATATCGGCGTTGTGATGGTGCTGAAATTGGAGGACGCAAGGGGAGATGAAGATAGGCCAGACTATTTGAGACGCCACGATAGTGTGATCAGCAGTGTGTACTCTAGAGCAGTTAGTCAGGTTGGTAATGTCGTGGCGGTGTACACGGGGCGCCACAGCTCCTGGATCGAGCCGGAGAACGAGCCAGTTGTACACCGAGTGCGCCGGCTACTGGTGAATCCTGCCCCTAACGCCACCCATATGCTGCTTAAAACTGACAACATCCTGATCTACGCCAGTGACAAGCCACTGCTGAATGAGGCAGGTGATAAGAAAGTCCTGATGCTGCTACCAGACACTATCACAAATAAGACGACTGCCACATACCAGAGCCTGACTGCCAAGTTCAGTACGAGCACCACCAACTACATCCGCCTTCAGTTTTTCTTCTACAATTCAACCAGTTCCCCAGGCTACTGGTCACTAGAGAACATCACGTACATGCACGGTGCAGGCAACACTACTGTGACGGTGCTCAGACCAGAGTCTAGCATTGTCGCACCAGTCATGTTCTCCTATCACTGTTCATCTAACACTGTGTTCAAAGCCGTAAACTCCAGCCTGACTTTCGAGAACTTTCAGGTACAGCCATACATGGAGAAACCCACAACATTTGGTGATGCATACAACTGTGAGCTGTTCTTCACACCGCCTATCTGGTCTGGGCTCTTTGTAACATCCATCCTTGCTCTTATCATGATCTGGGGCCTCATCATGATCATGGATATCCGAACCATGGACCAGTTCGATGATCCCAAGGGCAAAACTATCACAATCAGTGTGTCTGAGTAGAGTGCCGCATGTTGTTCAGTTGGCAGGACTGTTTTGTTTTTAGTGGCAAGATATATCGGTTGAAGATTCTTACGTTATCCTTAGAAAGTGTTTCATGCACAGGAAGGCCTGTCGGTGGATGCTGAATCTGAAATAATTAACACTTGGTGGTAATGTGGCTGAATCATTCTATGAAATTGCTTTAGATTACCAGTACATAGAACTGAATCTGAAATTATCTTCATTCTGAATGTGAAGTGAGATTCATTGAGAGGGACATAGTCCTGCATATCTGTCAGGTCATTCTTGTCGGACCAATTAGCACGGTTGAAAGGACAGCAGTTTGCCAACTGAACAATATTTCAGTAGCAGTGGTAGTTTTTTTCTTAACTCCAAATATATTGCTCGAAGTTTGATTGTGCAGATTTGCCAGTCAGGCAGTGAACAGATCAAAGTGACCAGCAGTGTAGCAAAGTCACAGAAATTAAATATAGTTTACTTTGATTCTTATGCAGCAAATAAAATTATGGCAGTCCAGTGATAATGGGAGCTGTTTGATGCTCTGCAGTTTATGAGGAGTTGGCAAATGTGAAAAGAGAAATTAGTTTCCAGAGGACTGACACACTGGTCTTCTTGTGATAATATAATTTTTAAGTTGTTGAGAAGCCATAAATAGTTAGCTTAAATTATTGCCAGATGGCAACAGATGTTTACATTGATATTTCCAAATTCTCAGTCTGTCCAGTAATAAGAGGCATTTTCTTTTGGGCATGCTTTGTGTCGCTGCTGCACTGCTGCTGTGTCAATGTGAAGCCAGGCCATTGTGATACTTTCCAATGCTATTCCTATTGTCAATTCTATTTGTGCTGTGACTCTACAGAACAGACTTGTTTTCTCAGTACTGGATTGTGACTGAGGCAAGACCTTCTACCTTTCAATTGACGTCTGTGCAAGGAATACCGGTGTCTTGGACCAGAAGTTCAAGAACTTTTATGTCCCAAGGTTCTACCTTAAACTAACTCAGAATGGCTCAGATTAATAGAGTTTTTAACAAAATTTTAAAATGTCTTTCTTAATGTTAATAGTGCATAATTATCAGTACTTTGCACTCGAGTACCATTTGAGAACAAATAAATTTAGCAGCATAAAACAGTAAGTTATTGCTCTTATTAGTTGAAAGTTTATGTTTTATTTTTCTTGCAAGACAAAATATGATAACATTACTTACTTTGTTTGTAATGGTTGGTAGTAGTACTTTGCAGAATATTAAACATAGATGTAAGGGAATGAATCTGAGCCATTCTTTAAACAGAACATTTCTTCTAGGGTGCTTTACCTGCAGTATTATATACAGTTCTTGAAGGTTTGATCCAAGATGTAGAGTGGAGCACAGGATTGCCCTGTGACGTGTCTACAGGGCACATATCTCGTGTGCAGTCACAGTGCGATGTCCGGAGGACACATTCTTAATAATAATTAAGTTTTAGCATCTTGGTGTACATATCTCATGTATAATAGAATTGAAGAGACGGTAGGTTATGCAGTGACTAGCGTTTTGATTTGTAGAGTGGCGGATGTGAATAGTTAACTTCTGTTCCTGGTTGCTGCATAATGCAACCTGTGACACAGCTGATCAGCCCAGACTCAAATTGTGACCAACAGAAATTCCTGGTACTGAAGGCAAAGCAACTTGCAAATAGTTTACACTGTGATGCGTGCTCCTCCTCTGTTTCTTTGAAAATCTTGCACTCAGCTAGTGGCTAATCCTACATGGTCTTACATAAAATTACTTCGTGGAAAATCGTGCATTGAAGGGGCTGCCATGTTTTAGGAGAATAAAGAAATCTGCTGTCATTACTGGATATTAACTTTGCACTAGACTGCAGTGGTAATGTGCTGAGCAACTCAGCCTCTGGAACACCAAATTTATGGTGAAGAGTGGTTTCAATGTTGGGTGGGCTGAGAGGCAGTGTTCATGATTTCTGTGTATATTTTGTGAATACTGTTCAAAACTGGCATTGCACTGCCATCAGGTCATCTTAGATCTTACACTCCCTTTTCCAGGTATAATCCACTTTGGAATATGCTTTCATTTACTGTTGACGGTCATAATCTGTGTTTGTTGTGAGGTCTTTAATTTGGAACTTGAAGATGTGATGTGAAGGAATTGCCAACCATTTATGCAAAGCTGTTTTCACAAGTGAGGTTGATGGTATGGCAACGCATCACTGTTATTTAAATGTGATTTCGTTTCATTCTGCTGCTTACTGTCCAGCCACAGGGCACATCAGTTTGCCCCTGCAGAGGCTAAAGTTGTGTTGGGACAGACTGTGTCTCCCATGTAAGAGCAAGAAGTCACTCATTTTGTTTGAAATTGTTTGTTTCTGCCGTACGTTACGTAAACCAGATGTCGTATTTTGACCTGATCTTTTCTAAAAGCAATATTAGTACAGTATATGACATTTTGAGTAGTACAGAGTAATGTGAGTTTGATTAGAGGTTGTGGGCTTGACTCTCAGGAAGAGTCATTACAACTTTCTTAGGGGGGTACATGAAATGTATATTGATGATGGCAGTGTTCAAGCAAGTTCTTGTCATTGTTCGATTAGTCTCACAGAAAATTTGTGTAAATATACTCCAATTTTGTTAGCATTTCTTGACATGTGAGATTTGCAGTCCCTGCTACAAACTTTTGTATTGAATTGTACTGCACAAAGATATATAATGATGTGGCATTTAGCGTAGTTGCCATTACATCACGGCATGAGGTGAAGTGACCTGACAGTCAGTGGAACCTCAGACAGTGATGTGAGGTGAGGTGGTGGTGGTGGTCAGTCTTAACATATCTGTATGCATATCATTTTGAATCTCGATATTTCTGATCTTTAATATATATTTTAAATTAAAGAGTCTCATTATTTTAACACCTTTCATTCCTTGTCTGAGGAATGACAGTGAAGCAGCACTTGCTGTCATTTCCTTGTGACATTCTGTATCTGGCACTCACGTTATTGAAGGCATTCATTTCGTCAGTTTTGTATTGTATTTATAAGGTGGTCATACTCGATGTGTTTCGATCAGTGACATTAGAAGTGAAAAGTGAAAATGATGATTGAAGTGTGAACTCCATACTGGAATACATAAAGGCAGTCTTAGCATAGAAAATGCATGTGATTTGTAAATATCTCCTCCAGGTTAGGCATAATAACACCTGCAAGTCTATGTATTTGTAAATTGTAAATTGTCATCATTTTCAGCAAAGAACGCTTTTGTTTCCGAACTCCGCGTGTACAAAATCGCATGTTACAAGTGAGGTCTTTGTGCTGCCTTAACAGATTTTTGAATGTTAGGAATTTTGTGCTTTAAAGAGTACTTTTTCTTTAGTCTTAGCTCTGATATTTTGTGTTGCTGTACTTTTTAACAAACCATTTTGTTCTCTTCACACTATTAATGTGGTTACAGTGGATTGGTTGTATGGATGGAGTGTAGAGGGGCATGTAGGTACAATTCTGCATTGTCTTAACCTTGGCACTAGATTTGCCTTCGTCTTAGAGAAAAAGTGGTATGTGGTAAAGAATCTTGGTGCCTAGCAGAGCCATTCCAGATGTGTTTCAGTTAGGAATGCAACACTAGCCATTTCGTCTGTACTGACATTTTCTCTTTGCTTACGTTCACTTTTAGATATCTTGTGGGAAACATAACGAGACAGGACGACAATATTAAAGTTGGTTTTGAGGAAAATTTATTGTTACGTGGATTATGTTGAACTGAATCAAGATGGAGACAAGTAGCAATCATAACAACAGACTTGTCATAAATGCATATGAAAAATTCAAAGAAATAATATAGGCCATAACAAATGGGAGAGGAATGTTAAAATAGATCTTAGAGGAAGTTATGAATATATGGGGAGCATTGTACTGATCCACCATGATGTTTCATAATTAACAAACCTTATGGAATATGCACGATCTTAAAGTAAAATTCCAGGGATTTGCCAAAGCCGTTCAAGTGTCCTCACACACGGGAACATGCACATCCTCTATTACCCAGAATACCATAGAGAATGCAGGCATGACCAGAGGTTTGCTAATGTTTAGGAATTTTGGTTTGAATGGAGGAAGTGATCCATCTGGTTTGAGGCTCAGTTTCCTGCCATTCAGAAGAATGTACCTGCAACACGAGACAACTGTTTTAGGGTGTGTCCAGTGACACTTGCATTAGTGGATCCTATGAAGAATGTCTTGGAGCAACTTACCTAGAGCTCAGGATTGTATCAGCTGTCAGCACATATGCCAACACACTGTCTGATGGTGGCAGCCCCATCACCATGACGTGACTTTCTCTGTTCATGACGTTCACACCGAACAGGGTGACTGCACCACGCTGATTTGCACAGTGACAATACAGACGCACATGACCCTGTTCACCCAGACAGGACACTTCTATGATGTCATCTCTGACCACATTCAATACACCCAGTCCAACCAACTTCTTGTAGAGCACTGATACCCACCAGTCCTGCCAACACCATGCCAATGCCAATTATATACTCTGTAGGAAAGAGAACATTCTTTGCCTTATCTCATGATGGCAGCATGACTTAAGTGAGGACATCCCTCTCATTGCTACCAGCATCTGTATATTTGCAATAGTAAATGTGTTCAAGTGTATGATCTGGAGCTTTTTCAGCAGCCAAGTACAATAAATTCTTCTCAGACTACCAGCCGTGTCAGGTGGTTGAAAGGCGAAAGTCACCTTTCAACCACCCGACAGTTGGTAGCCCAAGAAGAATTTATTATGTGTACAACGGTACTTTGTAAACAAGAAGTTCATCATATGGTCCACCTGCATAAACTCTAAACTAATAATTTTGCCATCCAGTAATCTTCGCTATGTGGGTTTAATATGTGCCATATACATTTTAACACACGGTGTGATCTGCTTTGGTATTTAAGACATCATCACCATGTGGTGCCATGTTAGAAAATAGGACACACAATGAGTACGGTCACCCCACTATGCCTTTTAAACCTGATTAGTAATAACTAAGAATAATTTAGAGTTTTTTTCCTTGCTGTGCACCGACTCTGATGTGTGAGTTACGAGATTAAAGTGTCATGTTATTGTTTACAAAAGATGCATGTAAGGTTCACAGGCCAAAGAACTCCACGTTTCTGAGCTGCAAATGTATGTATACACGGGAGTAGTAGCATGTTTTAAGAAATGAGTAATTTTACTATTTCCAGTCCCAGCGCAAAACATAGTTTATTTTCCTTTGCTCGGTATCAGACGAATGCGAGCGACGACTCACTGGCAGCGGTTCCATTTCTGGGCCCAACAGCCCGTAGTTCCCGCCGCACAGTGACTGTCGCACCACCACGTCAACCCCCAGGTGGGCTGCCATCCCAAGTTTGTCCAACCAGAGGAACCCAGCCACGAAGCGGTCCGACAGACCAGGAGCACCTCCCCCATATGCTGACCCTGTTTCACCTGCAGAAAATTGCGCATTGGGAATGGTCAATAGAAGCTGTGCAGATGAAATAGGACTGTCTTAGCATTTGCATCATCACCACGATATCTGTTAACAGCTAACTCCGTGTAACAGGGTCCATCTTGATCAGCTGATGAAGTTGTTACTTTATCCTCAGACAACTTAATCCACTTCACAACTTTTGTCTCTACAAATTATTGAAATAGAATCCCACCTAGAATATTTTCTAACAGAATGCTTGCTTTTCTGTCCATTCAAATGAGCACAAGAACAGTTAAAATTTTCACAAAAAATTTCCCTTGTGCTATTAGCTAGTGAGGTGATACATCTAAATTGTGCTACTGGAACAAATTAAAAGAAACAACATTCTTTTAAAACAGAAATGCCATCACAAATATTTTTCATTCTGAATTTTCCTTTAAATTACACATAAAGTCACACTTATGCATCTCTCTCTGGTTATATTTATGGTATATTTCATATACTAGCAACAGCCTCGAGAATCACTCCAAACACGACACAGAAAATGCTACTCACTGAGCCACAAGGGGAGATGCACCCCTGTGGTTGCACTGCATAATGCAGAGATCTGGCATGCCAGGATGTTCAGAACATCTGGGCTGACAAAGTCCTTGAGCTTTGCTTTCCTTCCATTCAGGTAGTACCTGCAACACAGACCACTATCAGAATGAGTGGTAACTCAGGCAACAGCTGACTGATAATGATCAAGGGGTAGGGAAAAACTTGAGTTACCCAAGGCACTTGGACCACATTAGCACTTTTCCAGTTGGTTTGTTACCACTAATGCAAAATACAGTCTCCACATTGTTTTACATGTCTTCATTTAACTGTCTTTCTGCCCCAGTTGACGCAGTAACAATTCTCAGGAGAATTCCATCCAGTCTCATTCTTTTCTGTTTCTTCTGTGGTGTTGTTTATGAAATCTGTAACTCTGTTACTTCAGGTATGAATTCCATTGTTAAAGCAGGACGGGTTCTGTGCATAACTTACTGGTGCCAGGTGATGGCGCTGATTGCACCTGTGGCCCGCGCCAAGAAGCTTTTGAGGTATGGTATGGGTTGTTCCCCAATTTGGTGTATTAGTGGACGGGTCACATCTGGCCCCACTAGTAGCGACGTGTTGTAGCGTGGATATGAATTCAGCAAGCGACGCAGCTCTACAAAGTCTTGACCTAGTTGGTGCCCAGACAGTGGTGTCCCAAATACGTGATTGAAAGAATTTGGCTCTGTAGAACAGACATTAAGATGTGTTGCCCATTCAGTATTTGATAGCAGAAACTGGGAATGCAGTGCCAGGGGACTACTTGAACATAACAGAGATGGGGGAACAGCGTGACAGAGTGTGAAGAGTTAGTTCATGCTTTTTGATGTGTCGTTAGGGAGGGGCTGGAATTGACTGGGACGCGTCAGCTTCTGGTCCGTGCTGATGGCGCTGATTTAATCCTATGAGGCATTAGTGAGGAGGATTGTCTAGAAGGAACTGTAGAGAAATTAAGTGTATAGTCATGTCTTATCACTGAACAAATTACGTACTTGAAGAATTAAGAGAAGATTACATTCTGCAAATGAAGATCACCATTCAGTTCATAATCCTGTTACCTGTCTACATATCAGAACTTATGTGTTGGTCTGTACAGGTATGACACAGTCAGAGATGTGTTTGAACACAGAGTATAATATTTCATGCTGAACAGGAAGAAACAGGCAGATCATGGTCTTGGGATTCAGTCCCCCCAAATCTATTGAACTCCACCTGTTGACATGTATCAGGAGATCCTGCCAGAAAAGAAATTAACATATATTGACAATGGATCACTGTGTACATACAGTCCAGACAGTCGTTCATTACACAGACACACCACCAACCTGGCAGTCCCACAGTTAATGTCTGGTTGGCAGCAGTGTAGTCTGAGGTTTAAATCCCTTATACTTCTACAACAGAGGTTGAGAAGTACAGAATGTCTAGAAAAATGTGTGTACACTTTAATAAATTATAAATATGAATTAATAATACAGAGAAATATGAACTTTGATGTGAGAGTTGAGTATGAGGAAGAGTAAGGTTATAAGTTCACGATGATGGTAAATATGCTAAAGTGGAGAATAATAAGAAAATGGGATGTGGCGAACTGACTGCAACCAGGAGCTATGTTAGTACACAGCACATACTGTACCATTTCCAAGCTGCCAACTGATGTCAAAATTGAGTTTGTCAGAGAAGTCGAGCAGCAGTCTTGCATTTGAGCTGTCCCACTCAGTTCCATTCCTGAGCAATACGTTCAGGTCAAACAGCAGCTGAAGTCCTGCAGCATGAGCAAACCTGTTCAGTGCGATCCAGTCACATGCTGCAACATGCAGGAAACAGCACGGCCGCTCTACTTAAATGTCCTTTCGAACAACGAAATATAGCGACTGCAACGTGACGCCACAACCTGCACATACCTGTCATGTTAAAATAACTCGTGTTCACTAGGTTGGATTTGTCTTTCACTGGACTGTAGCTGCATTCTGGCTGGAAGATCAGTCTGTCAGCCATTGTGCCCCCAACACGGAGATACGCTGGAGCCAGGGCTACTGTCATCTTGAGCAATACTTCAGACCTGCAGTTTCAGTCTCAAGTTGAATTTGCTACGTATAATCCAATACATTTACCAGTCAAGAAGTAGGGAGTTGCCCAGGAATTCTGCCTGTCAGTTCACAGCCTTTTGTTGTTCTTTTTCAACTGGACTGTGCGTGCAAATCAGTACACGGGATAGGTCTGGCTCAACACTGACATATAACAATATTTGAGGGGTTAAAGAAAGTGAAATACAAAACCAGAATTACAGCCACTGAAATGAAATTAATGAGAAATATACTCAGGTGAACTATACCTTTAATGGTAAACATTTTGAGATACAGAACAAATCTGATTCAACATGATAACAAAATACAAAGAAAGAGACTTCCAAACTATAAGAAGATGACAAAATGAAGGTTACTAGTTACTAGAGCCCATTCTATTAATTAATTTTAACTTGCTAAGGAACTGAGTAGGCTGGAATTACCTGGTTTAAATTTCATCAAACAGCTGGGTGACAGTTTTCATAGTTTTCCTCCAGGAAAGTGCCATGCCCTCTCAGTTATCATCATTTGAAGCTACACAATGTTACAGGTTCACAGAGACAAGTGATAAAGTATTCACCAGACTGATCTGAGGCCCACCCAATTGCTCTCTATGTTCTAGTTACACTCACTTGATATTCTTGTGCACCCAGCCATCTTGAATATGTGATGTGTCAAGAGCAACACTCAGGAAGTTTTGGTCTGTTTTGTGTACCAGGCGGTCAGTCTGGATGACCGCGTGAGTAACGTAGACATCTCGTCTCATTAACTGCCACAGTCCCACAAGTACTGTGAAGCAGCTGATGATGAACACAAATGGCATGAGGATAGCTTTATAAGAAATTCCTGTAACTGTTCACACAAACATTTGTTTCATTTTGTTACAGGTTACAACCAGCATAATCGTCTGCAGGTGCTGGAAATTCATCACAGAGCCTACCACTGGACCCTACACTGAGTGAGATACGTCTGGTTCACTTGTCTCATTTTAATTTATGTCCATTTTAATAGTGCCATGGCTTGGTATCTTTTAACAGATTTTCTAACCAAAATGTTGTATTTTTGTAAATGTATCTGGCTAATCTTAACATCTTGACTTCATCATCATTACAATACAAAATGTGCAATAGATATAAAGCTCCATACCATATAATTTACCACATTCAAATAAGATTAGAGAGAAACATGAAAGGCCACAGAGTGTGATTCCTGGCAGAGACACTGCAATATTTGACCTTGCCCAAATACTTTACTTTTATCTGTATTCCTCTGTGGTGTAGTGCTAACAGTCTTTCTACTTCTGTCAGATGAAGAGACCATATTCTGCAGCCATGAAAACAAAAGCTGGATTATGGTTTTGTTGTTTGGAATTATTGCTTTACATATTCCATTAAAGACTTTGATTTGAATTTCTTTGCATTATCCTCATTTTATTTTGTTTCTAATCAGAACTGCACTGTTGTGCATACAGGCCTCTTTGATTACAGGAAAAATTAAAAGATTCATATTTGGTGTCTTGAAACAATATTTCACAAGAATTACAACCAACCACGTATGTCCATTTGAAATTAATCATTAGGCAGAAACAGATATTTACAGAAAGAAGAGCAGGCATTTCCTAATATTAAGTAATTTGCCATTACTGCCCTGAAGAGGGGCAAATTTGATCTACTTTTTCAATTACAACTACGTTTAAAACGATTTTCTTTATTGAGAGACTGGCCCTCCTGCTATGACTCATACCTCCACGTCTGTAGTTATCAGGAGGTGATAACTTGTATAACAATTCGTGGTTTTGCTCCACTTTTTCTGGAAACATGTTTGCTTATTCTTGAATTCAACCAGCACATTTAATTCTAAATTGATTCACATCACTGACGAACGAAAATAGAAATTATTACTTCTGCATTACTCCATCTTGTTTTTTGTCCCCGTTACCATGGTAACGTTCCCGCCAGGTAGTAACTACTTTCCATTGGACAAGCGGCGTACACTTGCATATTAGCTGTGTTCATAAGTAAGCCAATATACGCCTTCGGTTGGCTGGTCACGCCATTCACGTTGATGGTTACGTTACGGTACGAACATGCCAGTAGATTGTATTGTGGTCTAAACCAAAATATGTAGAACATGATGTAATACAAGTAAAGATTTTTTTTTCACATATACATAAACTTTTAATAGAGGTAAAATCATGTACATAGTAGAAGCGGTTTAAGAGGTAATATTTTAATGCATTTATATCATGATTTCTACTTTTAATTATCGAACAAAACTTGATACCTGATAGTATACACCTTTTGTTATTTAGTGAGGTTAGTGTTTGGCATTTAAAGGTAATGTTTATATCTTGTGTTTAAATTGTGTATATTTGTATTTCTTTGAGATTTGTCAATGTTTCCTACTATAAATGATAGTAAGGAGAGTATGAATTCGCTTGCAAGAGGAAGTATGGCGAATTTTACGTAGTTTATCGAAACTTAGTGTCAGTTTGTTGCCTTCAAACCATTTGTTTGTGTTGGCAAAGACATCATTCGTGATATATACGAGGAAAAGTAATGGAAAAAGCACCGAACCTCGCAGCATTCCACGATTTACAGTTTTCCATTACGACCGGTGGCTTTGGATTTCATTTCCACTTTCCACCGTCTGTTATTCAGATAAGATTTGAGGCACCGTCCGTGCAGTTTTAGTTTCGTCAGTTCACACAATCACGTGCTTTGGCAAGATCGCAGAATATTCCACCCACACGAATTCTTCTTTTGAGGGTTCGTAATATTTCATTAGTAAAACTTAATAAAAACTTTTTCTGCTGAGACATTTTTCGTAAATCCAAAATGTTCTTTGAGTTTCATTGATCTATATTTTTACAGGATTTTCCAAACAAAATGTTTATAGTCAAATGTTTTGAAAATATGTTCAGAATTTTTTGTTGTCAAATGTTTTGAAAATATGTTCAGAAAAGAATCGAGCTTTGAAACTTTGGCGTGGTTAGTGCTAATGAGAGTGATCGAGTGACATGGAGGATTGAACATCCTCGGCCCCGGCATTCGCCCGTCTCCGAACCCCGTAACTCCCGCATGAGGAGCAGGACCGTGATTCAGGGGTCGACAAACTTTCGTTGTCCGCTATTCACACGTGGCTTTAGGAGAAATGTCGTCGTTTTCCCTTGCGCCCAGACAGAGCCAAATGTTGGCCGCACGCAGAATATGAACGTAACGCCGTTCAGACATCGGCGAGGACACGGATTCTCGTTGTTTTCCTCAGTCCCTCCGGACAGATGCCGTTATTGTGCCTGAAAATAGGCCCGTCCTTTCTGATTCATCGCTCGACACTAAACGATCAGAGTTGTAACAGCGTCGTTAAACAAACCGCAGGTAAACAATTGAAGTGGAGTTGTGCGTGCGTGGCCGTGGGATCGAATCCTGCCGCAGATACAATCTGTAAATATTTTGGGTTCTTATTGTTTGCATTTTCTTTAGATTTTGGATTTTGGATTTTGGCGGGGAAGAACGCATTGACAGATGAGCAGATACTGGGAATGCAGTGGGATTCTTTATCGACTGTTTGTAGGCCTAAAGAAAAGCTGTGATTGAGGTACGAGGAAATGTTGAGCAACGTTTAAGAGACACTCCTAAGAATTTTGTCTTCAGAATGGCTTGAAACAAGGAGATACTTCAGGTCTAAGAAAAGAAGAGATGGCCGCAGTTGAATGGGGCACATCGGCCTCGTTAAAGGACTGCAGGACAAAATTGTCATGTGGCGAAGTTGCGTTTCGTATTCACTGCCGAATAAGAACTCAGTTCGTCCTCCCGAAAGACCCAACTGCGATCTCGTGTTGTTGTTGCTGTGACGAACGGACAGACGTGACAGCCGTTTGAGGTGCGACAAATTTAATGTGTGGGACAAAACCCGGAAGCAAAGCCCGGAGTTCGCTTGTTTCGCTGACGCAACAAAGACTCGCTCTGATGTATCGCGGTCTTTGTGTCGTCCCTAACCTGCACGTCCATTTGTAACCCTCATAACGGCCTCGACGATGCTTCATCACTCGGCGACAAAAGACGGTGACAACGCGTTGTGGTTTGATTGGACGGACCACACACAGAGAGCAGCACCTCCTGTCAATATACATCGCAGAGCACGATGACCCATCTGTCTGCGTGTCCTGGGAAGTTTATGAAACTAATTCACAAAGCGAAGTTTTTGTGCCTCGCCTCTCCAACTGACGTTCTTCGCCACAGGTTTCGATCTCACCCTTCCACGGCTCACGAGGTTCCGCGACTGACGAGTGTGTACAAACGAAAGGCTCGTCTAGTCCCTGGAAGGAGACACAAGCGACAGGGGCTTAGCCCGAGGACGTCACAAGAAATGAGCTCGGAATTTCTTTCGCGAAACCTCGTGACTCGTTCCGTTGGAACGGACCGACACTCGACAATGGGACGGACTCGATGTGGCGCTCTCATCGGTCCGCGCGAGGGGGAGCCCCCGCTGCGTCTGCATTGATCGGTGCTGCCATCTATCTTTCAGCGCTCGTGAGATGGATGACCCATTGTCGCTCCTCAGCGTTGCAAAGGGCTCCTCAACGTTTCGCCAGGTGTGACGCGGTCCGTCACGTGCAGCCAAAAGCGACTTTTCGGAGCGCATTTCGACGTCGTTCGTCCTGGGACCAGAATTGCTTCGACGTCGCTGTGGTCCTGACTTCGATGCCTCTTGTCGCAGTCGCACGTTTTCTGAAGACTCGCACGAAACTCGCAGTTGCTGAGCCCCGTCCCAGGAGGCGGTCGGCGCGCGTGAACGAGGCCTTGATTTGTGGCTTTTTAAACGAAACGCGGGTCCAGTGACATGACGTAATGGAAACGCTCCTCGCTTCTCAGTTGCTGGTCACCGGTGCGCCAGGAGCCAGTGCATTTTAATATTATCCTCTCAGCTGATGTGGGGGGCGGACAAATGCGATTGCCGTATTCCAGAAGGCAAAATGACAAATCGGTCAAGAGACGTTTTCCCACGGACGCAACAAACCTCGTGAAGACGACCGAGTCTGGCAAGGCGAAGGCCTCCGCCCCGCGCACACATTTTCGTAAGTGAACGTCGCAACACAACAGAAACGTCGAGGGATCCTTAAGAGCGACCGCCCGCACGACAACGGAGAGATGAACTTTGTGTAGTTGATGAGGTGTCGTTACATAAATCTGAAGGAAGTGGCCGTGGCGCGTTTTGATGCACCCTGTGAGAACCGACTGAGAGTAAAACAAAATGGAGGAGCCTCCCCTACGAAACTCACCCCCGGCCCCATTAATAGCGACCCCTCGGGCCCTGCCCCCTGTGACTCAGTCGCCTCCCCTAGCAATGGCTGCGGCTTGTCCCGACCCCACAAAAGACAAACCACGACGCCATGTTCGAGGCCTCGCACTGGAATCAAAACTTGTTTTATTCAAACGGACGATTACATGATTTCGGTTGACACAACGCGCGGCCCGAAGGACGCCTCTGGGTCGCGAGCGTCTCTTCTAGAAGCCGGCGTACAGGAAGGGCGGCAGGAGGAGCGGCTGGGCGGGCGGCAGCCTCAGCTCGTGCGTTCGCGCGTGCTTCTTCAGGTGGTCCTTTCGGCCGAAACGCTTGCAGCACACTGCGCATGCGTAGGGCCGTAGTCCCGAATGGATCCGCTTGTGGCGTGTCAGTTCCTCGTTGCGCGTGAAGCTCTTCCCGCATTGGTCGCACGTGAACGGCCGTTCGCCTGAAACAGTAACCAAGGCAACCGATTAAAATAGGCCGCGACGCAGGGCTCGAGGGGCACGAATTTCTGATTGTTCTGTCACGGCGATGGAATTTGTTCGTGGGCGACAGGAAGGGCGGACGCCGTCGCGATTCTGCGCGTCCGTCCTCAATGTCGGGAGAGAGTCAGAAGCGGCGCCTCTCAAGCCCAGAGGCGTTGAAATTCTTTGTCTCTCGCCTCAAGAAACGTTTCCTCGGTTCCAGTCGCACAAAAAGAGAAAACATTTGCCTTTCTTCTGTTTGTTGAAGTCAAATTTTACGGCAATTTCATTGGTGGTGGCCCTGGTCGATCCCAGTCCCTCGTTAAAACTCGACTAACGCAATTCTTGTGAGTCTGAACGATTCCTTGCACAGCTGCAGACGAATGTTGGTACATGACACAAAATGGATCCTCCGTCTGATTAACATCAAGTGAAACACTTTTAAGCGACGATATTTAACTAAACCAATTTAAAACTGATTTTAAGATGGTTTTAGAAGAAGCTCCACACAATTAGTCAGCGCCTAGTCGCCTGAGCGTCCTTTAAGGTGGCGTTACTTAAATGGCACTGACGGCACAGCGGGACTTTGCTCGGGCGTCGAGACGCTGTTTCAGCTGTGAGGGTTGGATCTGATGGTCGATCGCCCGAAGGAGATTTCGTCCTCAGCGTCCGGCTCGCGTGTGTTTACTCCGATGAGATCACGAAATCAAAGCAAACGCAGACGCTCGGCGTCGGACGGTCTGCCAACCGACGTCTGCAGTGGCGTCGCTTTCAATTAATTGCTTTCAGCTTTTATAAGGTAAATCCGGGAGAGACGCCGCATTTTTCGGTTCCGTGGGTTCCGGTAATCCTCGGCCGATGTCAGTCCTTGCCCTTGTTCGGCGAGCCGAGGGAAATGAAAATCGGCGCTGTTTTTGCGAGAGTTTTAACTGATTCTATGCTCAAAGTTATTTCTGCTGTTCGTAAAATGCGTCTTTCTTAGTTCAAGTCGAAGCAACTCTTAATTCCCGATACATTAGAGGTTTCCAGCGTCGCTGGTCTTGACTTCGCACGACGTGGCCGCCATGTTGGTCGTTGTGTAAGGCAAGTGGGAGGGCGCGGCGTCTCTCCCTGAAGATAAGGAGAGACGCCGCACTTAAAACATTACTGAGTACTCAAAAATGCCTGTTCTATCGCATTATCTTATCTCATTGAGGAAGATTAGTCCGGTGTTGAAAATGCCGAGAAAAAACTCAACTGCGAGGAGGAAACATAGAGGAAAAAGTCAAAGGTGAACAGTCCGAGTACTTCAGGTCTACAAGACTGAAAAACTTTTAAAAAGTTCTAATCAAGAGAGCCCTGAAAACTGTGAGCTCTGCTCTCCGTACAAATTTCATGGACTAACGCAACCTCTGGAACATTTTTCTTTCAATTAAGTTGATAGTTGAAAATTCATTTGAATATTCATTAAATTTCCATGTTAATGTTCGCATTAATTCGTCAGTTTTCGAATTCAAAGTGCGGCGTCTCTCCCGCGAGGCGGAGTTTACGAACCTGTGTGTATTCTGACGTGACCTTTGAGCTGGCCGTTGTTGCTGAAGGCGACTTGGCAGTGCGGACACCGGAACTTCTTGGGACGCTGTTTCCGGTTCTTCAGCTGCTGCTGGTGCATCTGAGCCTCCTGCAGGAGTCTCCCGTATTCCTCCAACATGGCGGCCTCCGGGCAACAGATCCAAGTTCCGACGGGCGGGAGCGCAAATGCGCAATTTGGGTCGTAGGCGCCCGGAACTGGACGGGGCTGAACGGGGACCGCGTCCCTCCTGGAGGACTTCCGGGTCCTGTGAGACGTCGTGGACACCGTGCAGTCCTGCGTCGTTCTGCTGCACGACGACGTCGTCGCGTCTTCGCTCGCACTCGTCCACGGCCGGAAGAGTCGCCCCATTGACGAAGTCATTACGGAGGATCAGTTACATGGCGCGCGGCGCGGCGCGGAGCTCTCGAGACTGCCGAGTGGCTCTGCTTTGACTCGCTTAAGTATCGGCTACTGACGGGGGTTAAGTGTTACAAACCCACCCCTCGTTCTTTCCCAGGCAAAAGGCAGCGGTGGCTTTCATTGTGCAAACCATTACAGGGGATGAAAGCTCCGGGCGCGCGACCCCAGCGAGGCCCAGCTCACCGGCGCGCAAACAGAGAAAAATACCCGGCTAGGACCGTGGCCACTCGCTCGGGAGCATTTCTGGGGTGACGGACGGGCGTGGAGGCCGGGAGACGCGACTGTAAGCGACGAGGGACGTCCCCGAGGAGCCCGGGAGCTGCTGGAGCCTGTTTGTGTGGCGCGCCGCGGCGAAGATTGATGGCTCGGGCTCTGGAGGACCTGAGGACGCGCGGAGTGTGACTCCGAGACAGGGGATCGACTCCCGGTCGGTCGTCCGATTGGCAGACTGTCTTGATGGATGGGCGCAAGGCTCGTGCCTCCGTCATCCGTCTCCATCTGTCGCGCGCGGCAAATTGCCGTCCTCTGCGATTCTGGGCTCATTTGCTTCTGAAATGGGACTTGGACGACGTCGGGCGTCGTCGTGGCGAGTGGAATTACTTTTCTCTTGCCTGTCGTTAGCGACCGAGACGTTGCGTCAATGTCGAAAGCAGTTTCACGCAACTCCAACAAATAAGCGCGCGCTCAGATTTTACTTGAATAAATCCGACGTTTCGCTCTCAGGACGCAAGCGGTCATTGCCGTTCAGGGCGAGAAATTCTGGCCTGGAACCTGCCAGAACACGCAGAACGGAAAGGCGTTCGGCGAACGGACGGACGAAGTATCGCAGGCTGCCTACCCGTGGGGCGAACTGGATTCATTTGGCCATGTGACCGGCTTTTGTGAACGCGGTCATGACCTTTGGATCTCATAAAACGCGAGGTTCGAGGTTTTCTCGGCGGTGAGGATGCCGACGTTTACGCTTTCAGACAGACATCGACGTTTCGGAGACTAGCTGAGGGACTGTCGGCTTGTGAAGAAGCACTCCACCACACCCCACCCCCCTCGTGCGGTTTGCGTGGTCTGAGATCATTTGGGCAAGCGACTGGTTCATCAGCATAAGTTGGGTTAGCTGAGCGGTGCTTGTTTCGAATTTCACGGCAACCGCCAGACGTCAGTGTTGTTGTGACCCGAAACGTCGGTCGGCATCTGCGAAGCCGTGACGTCACTCGCTGCTTGTGCGTGGTCGTATACCGCGATCGTGTCGTGAGCAGGGCCGCGCCGTCCGTCGTGGTTAGCGCCGGTGTTTACGACCGGCGATTCGCCTGACAGCCGTGACGGCGTAAGTGGAGTCCTCACTCCATTAAGACGGCCCCCCGCGTCACGCGATTCGGCGCGCCCGTCGCTCCATTCGTTCTGGGCTTCCTCGTTGCCGCTGTCAGAACGTCTTCATGGGGTCCAGGTGCCTTCCTCCGCGACCGAAGCCGTTGTTTTGTCTCTCGCCCCGCGGTTTGACTTCGGCTCCGAACAAAGCGCGAGGTGTCGGAGCGACGGGAGAAGAACCAGGCCCTCCTTCCAGTCGGGCTGTCGCTTTGTGGTCAACTTGTTTCCAGTCACTTGGTACGCACAAGCGATCGGCAGGTACAAAGCGCCCGCGGACCCTCTTCAGACTTCGCGCTTTGTGCGCGATCCGACGTACCGACACAAGTGGCCTCAGTGCGTGCTGTGTTGCGAGCCAACATGGCGGTCGGTGGGCGTTCTTTGCGTCGCAGTCACTCGAGTGAAATATCGTCGTTTCAGCTTTGCAACAGAACTGGGTCCTCCGATTATGGCCGCTGACCTCGTAGGACCGCTCGATGGAGGAAGGAGTTGCCGTCGGTCAGAGCGGCAGAAGCCCGATAATTGTCGTCTTGCGGCTGAGCTGTGCTAACAAAATGCCACCCGTTCGATGCAATCTCCTTTCTGGTCACTGATAACGCCTCGTATCACAGACAAACCACCGACGTCTTCATCAAAGAAGGACGGAATGAAAGCGTGGCTATTGGAAAGAAACATCCAACTTTGTGACGTGTTGAAGGCTCGACTGTTCGATTTAATCGAATTAAATGAGTCAAAGCACGTGATTGATCGGATTTTGGCAGACGAAGGACGTCCTGTGCTGAGACTTCCCGATTTAAACCCGATTGAACTTGTAAGACAATGGGTTGCAAGCAAGAACGGAAAATCTAAAATTAAGGACGTCGAGCGTCTGCGTCGCCAGAGATTCGAAGAAATTGGGCGAGAGGAATGTGGAGAAACCAGAACAGATTTATTTTGAGCGAGAAGGCGTAATCGCCGCGGCGGCGGTGATGAATCGAGCGATGTCAGAGGACGGAGGCCTGAGAGGAGAGGACGAAATTCTCTAGTGACGTGCAGTGAAATCGACTGTCCTGTGTCACGTGAGGTGGAGACATTTTACTTGGAGCCATCCCTTCCAGAAGACTTCTGGTAAGAGACTCGCTCCGAGGTTCCACTTCACAAAAACGCCGGAACGCGGGTTAGCACAACTTTCAAGAGCTGCCACGACTTCTCAGTCAATCGCACGCATTGCTTCTGCGCTAGATCCATTTTAATATTATCATCCCATCTGCGACTACGTTCCTGTCGTACGCCATGTTTCACGTTGCAGCAACGGATGGGAGAAAATTACGCAAGCTCCGCCTTGTGCTAGGAATTCGTTGTGAAACGCAAATATTTGTATTCCGAGGCGTCGCTCCGGGTGTGCCTTAGGTCTGTTTGGCCGGACAACACGTTCCGGGGGGGCACTGTGCCAGGGAGACGAGAAGACGTTTCAGCAGCCGCGGGAGGCCAGTGGCTGAATGTGCGCAATCCGAGACGCAGTTCGCATGCGTGAGTAGCCTCTGTCAGCTTGCGTATTCAGTTCATTGCTGCTCGCAGCCAAAGGCGAATGGCGAGGACGCGGCGCGCATGCCAACTGCGAAGAATTGCGTTCGAGACTTGCGACAGAACGAAGCGTCGCCGTCGAGAGCCCAAGTTCGCAGAGAACGTACCCCGACGAAGTGTACAGACTCAAGGAGGCGGTAGGTCCGTTCACGCCGGATAAAAAAATGTCCTCTTCGGAACGGATATCGGCCGTACCGTTGCAAAGAAAACTTCCTCAGAGCCCTCCGCCCAGTCAGCTCTCAGAACCGCGGGAGTGCGTTCTCGGCCAACCCCTTGAACAAACTGCCGAAGGCCTCACAGAACAAACGCGCGTATTTCCTTACGTGACTCCACTAAATTTCCATTCTGGTCGCTGGATCCGTGGAGGAGCCAACCGGTCCCGAGCTACGGAGCGCGTGTGTAGGTGCGTTTTAAAAGTTGCGAGCTGTTTAGGCTTGCACACTCACTCCCGGGACGCCGTGTACCGGGTGCTCGTCGCCTGAGACGTCCTTAATATTTGCGGGCCATCAGGGCAGGGCTGGGTGGACTCCTGACTCAGGATCAACGTTGATGTTGCGCGAGGACACGCGGAACATTCCAGACGGCAGCAGATTGTGCAAATCGCTGACGCAACGGAGGAGGTGAGCGCGCAGTTACGAGCAGCAGAAGATTCTGTCTTCAGTCCAGCAGAGCGCGGTCCCTGCAGTCGGTTGCGTTCATGCGACGAGCCGCGGTTGGCCGAACTGCGATCGTGTTTTGTTGTCAGAGGCGACCGAAATCACGCAAATATTTCGCACTAGTTAAATGTCTTATTTTGTGGTAAAGTCGCTCGCAGTTCGTGTTTTCTTTCTTCCAGAACGACGCCATGACACTTGCGGGCCCAACCGCCGAGCAGCTGACGCGCATGCGCGAAGAACTTGAGGCCGACGACGACGCCGAGGTGTTCAAGGAGGACCTGGCTCGCCTTAGGGACTGGCTCGGCCAGCAGCGTCACCTGCCTCAGCACATGGGTGAGTGTCATTGGCCGCTCGCGTGTCCTTAAAATTCCGTCCTTCATCGGCTTTTTTTTTCTTCTTGTACGGCTGCAAGCTGAACGTGGAGCGGGCGAAGCGAGTCCTCGACGCCTACTACACGGTGCGCGCCACGGCGCCCGAGTTCTTCAGGGACAGAGACCCCCTGTCGAGGGACATGCAGCTGTGCTTCCGGGCGGTGCACTACGTGCCTCTGCCGACGCTGACGCCTCTCGGCTACCGACCGACGCTCCTGCGCCTGGCGCACTGCGACGCCAGCAAATTCGACGTCCGCGTTCTGACGACGCGCATCGTGATGTCTCTGGACGCGCGTCTGCTCGAGGAGCGCTGCCTCAGCAACGTCATGCTGATCGACCTGGAGGGCTTCACGATGGGCCACTACACGAGGGCGTCGCCCACGCAGGCGACAGTGCGCAAGGCGCTGCTCTGCATACAGGACGCCTTCCCCATGCGGCTAGCGCAGGTACAGTAGACGACCGACGCTCAGCGCCGATCTTCAGCTTCACGCGCTGATCACTCTCGTTCCGTGTTTCAGGTGCATCTGATCAACGTCCCTGCGTTCATCAACAACGTCATGAGCTTGTTCCGACCCTTCCTCAAGGAGAAGTTCTTGAACAAGGTACCAGAACTCCCGCCTGTACCATTCGAAAAATATTCAGAGACAAAGCACGAATTTTGCCCCAAATTGCAGGCGTTAGGAGTGCGCTCATCTGCATCGGCTCCTCGTGTGTTGCAGATTTTCTTCCACTGCTCCGGCTACGAGGCCCTGTACGAACACGTGCCACGCGAGGCTCTGCCCCGGGAGTACGGAGGCAAGCTAGACTCGACCCAGGACCTCGCGGGTGAGTCAGGTTACGTCACGCACAGAAGCGGTCGCTCGCCGCTCGCTGCTTGCAACTAGTGCTTCCCTCTGTTGCAGACAGGTGGAACGAGAAGCTGGTGTCACTCCGCCCCTGGTTCCTGCGGGAACAGCTGATTAGCCGGTCGGACGAGACGCGGCGCCCGCCGGGCCTGCGCACTGACACCGCCTCCGCCCTGGCGTCCGACCCAGACGTTCACGGAACCTTCAGACAGCTGAGCATCGACTGACTTTGTGTAACGCCGAGTTATGGCGCGTCTCTTAACGCGAAACCGTCCAATAAACATGTGTCCACCCCTCGTGTCGTAATCTTAATAATAACGCAATTTTCTCTGGCCTCCCTCCTCCTACTTCATCCTTCGCAGGTCCAAGCATTATTATCAGCGCACCTTTCTCGAACACACTTCTTCGCACGGCACGGCACGGCATTTGAAGATGTAGGGCAGAGACACTGCGCTTGCGCATAAGTCGTGTTGGTCAGTCCTCGATGTGAAGACGGGTGTCTTCTGAAATAATGCGCCGTGTAGTCTCGCATTGCTTTCATCGTAAGGGCAATGTTGGAGTCCGCTGAAACGTCGGTCGGTAACTATCAGAGTGCACGGCGCAACATCCCGGAAGACATCCATTTTCTTAATCGCCGCCGTCGGTTTGAGCCAGGCTTGTGCACACACGCGGCACGGATTCTGCGTGAACGATTACAAACATGGCGACAGTGCAGAACTTGGACTTTATATCCGGCGTTTTTGACGTCGCTGTGAAAGACGAGTTCTTCCCACAACTTTCTATATTTTTTTCAGGTCCTCGTTTTAATTGCAGAGAATCCATTGAATGCTTTCGAGATATTGTTTTCGTCTTTGCTTACAAGTTCTGTGTCTCCAATGATTTTCGGTATGACAGACCATTGTATTTTAATATATTTTTGGACTCTTTCTGTATTATATTCCTGTCGGATGGTGTTGTTGCTTCTGTCACTAAGCAAATTGATTAATTTAATTTGGGCTCTTATATCTGATGTCAGTAGCTTTGATTGGAGACTGTCAGACATTCAGCCATTTTCCGCAACATTTAGATTTTTTTTTATTTCCGCTCGTATTTATGTTGTATCTCAATGTGTTGTAATGTGTAACAGTGTTATCTGCAATAAATTGAGATGTTTCAAACACGATGTCGCTCTAAACAGCAGGTACGATGCCATCTGGTAGTAGTATTTAGAACTAGTGTTCAATTCCGATCGCGGTGCGCCACTCCCCCTTATCCTGCTCTGTTTGCTGTGTCCGCGGAAGATTTACACAACGAATGTGATACAAGAAGCAGCTGCGACTCTTTTTTGTTTAGTGTGGCGTGCGTCAAGTGTAACGAAGATCGTGTGCCCTTTCTTTCTTTCTTTTTTGTTGGAGGCAAGCTAATGGGGAAGATGTCAAAACATGGCCACCATTCTGCTTTGCAGAAGATTCGTGCTTGGACATCAGAGCAAGTTCAGAAAGTGCTCACAGACGTAAGTACGCGTTATTCGCCATCCAGCACCCATACTTTCGTTACCTGCTTCCCGGTCTGACGAGTCACGTCCCATCCTTCGAGCTAAGTACCTAGCCAGTCGCACAATGCTACCAACACCTGCTGACCTCGGTAGATCACCAAGTTATCTTCTTCCTGTTAGGCCCAGAGGAGTTTGTTTTGAGAAACTTGCAGTTTATTCATTTGAGTCGAAGTAACAAATCGCGTTTTATTGTCATACAAAACAGCTGGAAGTGTTGGGAGTTTTGAAAGAACAGTACGCGAGGAGATACAAATTTGTGAACTGAAATTAAATTTAATTTTGTTCTTTCCCGGTACTGAGGGGCAGCGGTAGCTTGGATTAATTGTGACATGAGGAGAGAGTACGTAATTGGGCTTTAGAAAATAATCAGGCTTCTGTCTAGCGCGCCGTAATATCAAGCGAAGATCTAGAAGACGTCGATTGTTTCATGAATGGGAATTGCATAGAAACGTTGGTCATGTTAATCAAAACCCTGCATTTCCAATTCGCAGTGATCCGAAACAAGAAGATTTGTTGCCACTGATTTTTATTTTCATTTAAAGTGACTCAGGTCGGAGAGAATGATCAGGGATTTGGGACACACAGAAGAAGGAAAGCAGTTGGTTCACAATTTGATAATCGCTTAAATCGGGAGTGTTGCCGAACTGATAAGCGCACTTGATTTATACGTAGCCTGTTAATAAAGAAAAGTGAACATTTTGTATTTCATGTTTGACTGCTTTTCATCATTGGAATATCATTCGATTTCATTCATTTATTCGGCTAAAAATCGTAATGAAAACTGTCGAATAATGCCATCGGCCCGAACCTGCTTGCCCCGCGTGCCCAGAACGTTTCCTGCAGATGAACGGAAGGTCGTGATAAGGAAAATTGTCGATTGCCAGCGTGACGTCATACTTTCTTTACAGTATCCGCAACATAACTGAGAGCTTTTGGCACGTTAGTGAAACAGGATAGGGAAGATGGAACATTTGCGTTGTCTCACAAAATTGCACGCACTCGCAGTGATTTATGTCAGTCGCAACAATGAGTTGGTGCATGTGTGTTCTGTTTCAGCACGGCCTTGGGGAGTGTTGCGAGGCGGTTAGAAAGCGCGAGGTGGACGGTGACTTGTTCCTGGTGAGTACGATTTCTGGTCTGTCATTTGACCCTATCCTGATCCAGTTCGGGGTTAGGAATCGTATTGTTCCGTGCTTCAGCGCCCGAAACGTTTTACTGTTGGTCGGAGGAGATGAGAGGATAACATTAAAATGGGCACTGCATGAATGTTTTGTGAGAATGTTAACTCTGTCTATATGTTCGGTACCAGTCCCAGATAGTGGTATTTTCTTTCACAACCAAAGTACGCACCATGCTGGGAAATCACATTAATATGGGGTTTCATGAACACTTAAATTTAAATATGGGTACTATATCTTCTTTTGAATGTATTGGGACTTCTCTTATCCGTCCGTGACTCATCGATTATTCTTCTTGGGGAGTGCTTTTCATAATGTAATTTAAAGTGATGTGGTTTTGTCTTGAGTATTGAAAGCGTCCTTCAATAAACTACTAATGACAATGATTTGGAACAACAGAAGTTATCCTGGTTAGGAAATATACCTGTGCATTAGTATGTTCTGTAGACTAGAAATAAGTTTTGAGAACTGGAACCACTCGTTTCACTTCAATTTTCAGTGTCTGGAAACGCAGTTCTTTTCGTAACCAATTCGCTTGCATTAACTCAGGTTGTTTTACATTTACAGACGTTGACCGAAGGTCAACTGGCTTTATGGAAGCGAGACTTAAATTTGGCGACACGCAAGTAAGTCTAATTGCATCTATATAGCTCTCTAAGGAATATTTGTGCTATAGTCAGATTGGCCGAGCGGTCTAAGGCGCCAGACTTAAGTTCTGGTTCCCGAAAGGGAGCGTGGGTTCGAACCCCACATCTGACAGAATTTTTTTTGGGTGCCTATTTCTATGTAACTTTCTGGCAGTCGCGTGTTATGGGTTTCATTTCTGCGGAACTTGTTTGTTGGCGAAGAAGGAAGTTACGAAAAGAATTACCAATCATAATAAAATTGGAGTTTTGTTACCAGATGGCAGCACGGCGTCGCGTTGTATATTAACTTCGCTTCGTAAACAGAACACTACGCAGGTGGTACTAAGAAGAACGTTACGTCGTAAATCGTTGAAACTGTTCAGAAACGAAGCAACGATGAAGTTATGTGACGGGACATCACCATCATAGGCCGAAGCCTGCCTAATTAAAGTTCTTCCCCGATGCTTTATTCTGTGTACTTTTCTATTTATAATCAATCTGTTTATTAGTGAAATCCAGTTGGTTTTATGTTTAATAATATTGCCCAATATAAGTTCTGTTCAAAATTCTTAATGTCTTCTTTTCTTTATAGTTCATCGAAGTGCATTTCGCTGGTTTTCTCACGAATATGTTTTCTGAGATCGTAATTCAGAGTTTGTAGCTCACTTTTGTAGAAAATAATTTTAAATTAGTACAGTAAACGACAATATGTGGTACTAACTGGGTGTGTACAGTCAATCCTGACAGTATATTAACCTCAAGTCTTACACAGTATATTAACCCTTGCTCACCGCATACATGTGTCACTTTGAACGTATTGTGGAAAGAAACGATACTCAAGGACAACTGTAGTTTTTCCTTTGGTTTGAAGACAAGAACTTTGCATGAGTATGGTGTTGAAACTTTACAGCCTTGGCTCAGTATACAGTTTCCTGATGTGTACAGAAGTAGACAGTGACTGACCCCGGGAACATCTTCATTCACGGCCATGTCATCACATACATTAAATTGACGTACGAATATGTGGTGCCTGCTGATGTGTTATCAAAACTGAGCTTAACTGTTCTAAATAATAATGTAATGGCCCAGTTGTTCGTAATCCATGATCACCATTGAATGTAGTTAGTGATTTTAGAATCTTATGTGACCTCTCATTAGCTACACAGACTTGTGAACAACATCTGTAACAATAACTTGAAGTTGGTTAGACAGAAAATAATGAGAAAAATATGGAATTTGTTTGGTGATAATTGCAAGGTTTGCATGTTGATAGGATTGCTCATTAACATGTGTACTTCTTGCAGGAAGCTAACACACTTTGTACAGGATGTGATAGCGCAGCCTGAGAAGTATGTGCAGACAGACAGCATCATGTGAGTACTGTTATGGAACAACACATTACTTATTGGAAAGTAACATCATAAAAAACTTTGACCTCTTTTGAGTTAGTCGTTGTTTGCCCCAATTCTTCCTCACAAATGTTTGGACACAACCGTAAATGATCATGACCACTTACTATGCAGTAAAGTATGAAGAGGCCCCAGCAGTAGATGCTATTTCTGTTTGCAGAGTGACTCGGGGCAAAGAGCCAGCAGTGAGTCTGCCTTCTGATGCGATACATAATAGGAAGAGTGACCACGTGTCCTGTTTATCAGGGAAGATCTCACCATTCAGTGATTCTGAACCGTGGGACACAGACTTCAGCGATGATGAGGACACCAGTAAGGTCAGTGACATGGGTAGGAAGAGAAGCTGAAGTGGAGCTTACAGTGCTTCTGATGTTTGGATTAAGAATGTGTTGGTCGGCGGTGCAAAGTTGACACAACTCACTGTATGTGATGACTGTCAACACATTAATTAATCTGCTTGAAAGATATGTTAAAACTGCAACTGAAATTTAGCCGAATTTTGGTGGCGTAATGGTTACATTGCTGTGACGTGGTTTCCTGGGCGTCGTTTACGAAACCTGGGAGCTTCAGGGTGTTATAGAGGCAGAAGAGGCACGTTTTATCTTACGCATCCTCTGTGGCATGGTGCATCTGACCATCAGGTTAGCAATGTTTTATAGTTGCAGGCATCTAGTGTCACTGTGGCAGAGTACTGTAACAGCGAGGTCGTGAAGAAGCCACCCATTCCAGCGCGGCCTCCAGCACTCGCATCCAAACCGGCCTCTACGCCATCAGCACCTAGCAAGAGCTGTAACCTGCCAAAACCACCAGTACCACCGTACGTTATCGTAGATGCACTCATATTTCTAAGCGGTACAGCCCCTTTTCTGATGCTGTACAAAACCCAAGCACGTAATCAGAAGTGTTTATGAGTTTAAACACAGCCCTCACACTTTCAGTGATTTTATTGCCACCACCTGCCATTTCTGTACTTACTCGTCATTCTTTGTCTTCTTCCTGTCTTGTTTGTTACTGTATAATACCTGCAGTTGAAAGAGCATCATTGTGTAATCTGTAATAGGTAATGAGCAGCGCCACACTCTGGTTACCAATCTCTCTGAAAGTCAGGTGGAGAGTGTGTTCAGTTGCGACGCATTATTAACTGTGGTCACACCTACCCTTCATTTGAAATGCTATACATTATTCTGACATGAAGATAGGCTGGATATGAACTGGGTGCCTTCTGTTGCAGTGAGAGCAGTTGCTATGGGCACGTCAAGTTACTGGTCAGCAGTCTCACTCTGCCAGAAAACGGCGACCAGGTATGTACTGATGAAGCACAGGGAGGGGAACTGATGCCTATCATGTCACAACTGAACAGCTCACAGGCATACTTAGGCTTTTACTGCATATTGCCTGAACTGGGAAGGTGTGAACAGTATTATGAAAAATATTATAAAATGAGAAGTGGATTCTGATAAGTTAAATTCCATTATATCACTGAGTAAATGTAATGGATGTTAAGTCGCATCAGCTGCACTACATATTTTCACTGTTCAATACATTAAACAGCTTAAGATACTTAATTTTGGTACAGTAATTAATACGCCACCAGAGCTTTGTGCAGCTCGTTGTTGTACTGTTCTGTTTCAGTTTGACGAGGAAGAGTACGAGAGCGTGGATGGAGAGGTCCTTAATTCCGACGTAAATGCATTGGCAGCCAAGCTCAAAAAGTCCCTGGAGGCCCGCGCACAGTCCGCACCTTCCGCGAGACAACCCGTGCCCAGTACTTGGCACTTGCCAGCATTCCCGCAACAGACTGATGAGCTGCCAGAGGGGCACCTGAACGACGGATATGATTCTGACGAATACGAGTCTATCAAGGAGAATGTGAGTGTATGATGATAAGTCGGGGTTGGCAAACCAGTTTGATTTGTGTGTTATAAAAAACACGCAACTTTTAGGTCAAATGTCTCGGTTGAATAGAATCTGAGCACGTAGAGGCGGATGCTGTCACATAATTTCAATGTGCAATTTGCACTGTTATACCACAAACATCTGAGGGTTCTTTGTAGGTAGATGTTAGTGGTCTGACGGCATTCTGACGAGTGCTTTGTTAACAAACCCTTCCTACCTCTTTATTGCATTTGGAGTAATGTTCACCCTTCCCCAGACAAGTATGACTTTGTAGTTTTGCCCTTTGGTTATTCTTAATACAGAAGATGAACCTACCGTATATTTGCACTCTGAGCTACAGTGTGAATTTTCTTGTAAGCTTGATCTTTAATAAGAGGTGCCAGTCAAATTCTGTCACTGCCAGTGGTTTGACATCCTCGCTGCAGGTAATATTGGATGTTTGGGTGAAAGTGGAGCCGTACATAATGAAGCATTGAAATGCCATGGTACAGGTTATTACGTACAGAACAGTATTTTGTCTTTTATTTTGTGTGGGCCCTGACTTTGAGTGAAGAACATAGGAAGTGGGGAATTGAGGAACTGAATGGATACAGCATGTAGTCTGAATGAACAAACCTAAAGCTGCACACAAAATTTTGATAGGTAAAGATCTTGGAAAATGGCCGTTCTAAAGATTAGGAAGAACGAGAAGCACGATGTTAAGGGCGATGGTATTCAGATGGTCTTGAAGTGGTTGTGCAAAAATTTTTATACTGCTTTTGTTTCATCTGGACTGTGCAAAAAAATTTTATACTGCTTTTGTTTCATCTGGACTTCTTTTAAAATAGAGCAGCCTGTCTGTGGTGCTCAGTATAAGGTAAATTTATTGTGAGGTTTCAGTACACTTGGATGTGTGATTAAGACCTCTGAAACTATAGATTGATGTTTACACAAGGTGGACCACTTATTGCAGGAGAAGCTGACTCACCTACCACCTGTTGATGGTGCAGAGTACTACCTGCAGCCAGTGCAGCAGCATCCAGATCAGAGCAGCGGGGGAGCCCCTCCACTGCCTGCAAAACCTTGGAGCAAACCTCCCGATGCATCCCTGCCCTCTGCAAAGCCGCCGTCGCCTCCGAGAAGGAAGTCGGTAAGCGAGTCCTCACAGGGGTTCAAGAAGTTCAGTAAAAATGTCTGCGTGTTTCTGCGCTGGACTGCAGCAGAAAGGCATTTAATTCCTTTGAGTGGCCATTATGGAATGTGCTATAAGTTTGTAGTTCAGGAAAGTGAAATATGCGGAGCTCACGTTTGTACCATAATGAATACAAACTTGCTCATGTTGGAAGACGCATTGTATGGTTGTGCGTCTGTGTCGTATAAGAACATCTTAAATCAGACTGGCATAGCTGCAGATTACCTTGTGCAAGCTGGTAATTATGTGGAACCAAATGCCTCGAAGACCAGCAGGTGCTGAAGTACCGAGTATGTGATGATACTCGGTGGGTATAAAATAAAAGAAACGTGTTTAACAGACCTGATCTTAAAACCTTGCATACCACAAAGTGTATTGGAATATAAAATATGCATACAAACAAAACTATTTACGCTGTGATGGGCATTAATGCCATTTTTACCACGTTTCAACCTCAAGAGGTCATCATCAGTGACATTATTGTCCTTCATAGTATAAACAGTTTTGTCTGTATGCATATTTTATATGATCAACAGGCGGCTTGAGAAGCTGATACCCGCTCATCTAGTTAAGAAATTACCAACCTTTTATGGAACCAGAAGTGCATTACCATGTTCATTAACTGCACATTTTTATTGCTGTTGTTACGATGCTCGGGCCATTGTTGTTACAATGTAATTTTCAACCATGGTGCAAAGAACCTCTTGGAAACTAGTCATTTCCAAGACCAAGACTGAGATGCAAGGAAAATATCAGTGTTGAGTGATTGTCAGAGAAGGAGCTTTTCAAGAGAAGAATTGGATTGAACTTGCTCGGGAACTTGAAGTGGTTTTATCCCATAAAGTCAGGGATAAATGTTGCTTGTTTCAGGATGACAGCCCAAACAGTCCTGGAAACTCAGGGGATGGGGTGACAGGACTGATCGGCGAGATTTTGAGAAAGTTACGAAGCCCAGCCATCAGTTCCTTGCAAGACTCCAGAGGTGAGTAATGGCTTCATCTGTCTGTAAACATGCGCATAACTCACTGGACACCATTTGACATATTTTTGTCCTTTTGAAAACTGTGGATGTGTGGTTTTCATGTTGCTTTACTGCAGATGAAAATCTTAAGGAGCTTAAGATGTAGGGCAAGAGTTATATTTGACTGATTTGAGTCAGAATCAGATTCATCTGAAAGCTTTTACTGTTGACGCCTGATGCCAAATTCATTAAGATCCGATCAATAGGTTCAGTGGCAAGACGTGTGGTTTATGACCTTTGTTATGCTGTCAGTTCTGTTATCATTACTGTAGGGTGCAGAGTCTCAAGAGGTTATGGGAATGGAGGAGAAATGGTGAGGAAAGTACTTTGTAGTTACAAACATAATTAGCAGCTGGAAATAATATTGCACAGCCGTCGCAAATGTGAAACTTGTACTGAGGTGTGCAACATATTTTCAAGTTGTAGTGTGCCAGTCTGCCACTTGAGGTCATGTTGGTCTAGTAATCAACACGGCAGAATTCAGTGCTGTTCAGTTCCATGAAACAATTGGCATGAGTTTGGTGCAAATTTTCATGAGGAATTATGCTAAAGGCATGTGCTGTGTGCTGAGAAAGACTTTGTGTGAAAGGTAAGGAAGAGGTGGTGGATGACCAGGCATGATAGCTGAGATTGTTAAGTGACTCCACCCTGTTGATGGAGGCAGCAAACACCTCTGAATGTCTGTAAACTTCTGTCGGACTAAATGGTGCAATATATCTTCGGACTTTATGGAGTGTTCCTTGTCATTTCCCTGTTTTTACCTAAGAGAAATTGATTAGGACCTCACTTTACCTTACTTGTTACTTTCTTTTACCTTCTTTCTACTTGACCTTACTCTTTTCTTTCCTTCTTAAGAATGTTGAACTTTTTACATACTTCACTTTTTTAATTTTATGTCAGTTTATTTCACTTCAGCTTTAGTAGCGTGTTATGTCGTGTTATGTTATGCTATGCTGCGCTAGGTTAGATCAGATTGGATCAGGTTAGGTTAGGTTTTGTTTTGTTTTGTTTGATCTGCTTTATTTTGATTCAGTTAGGCTGGCTTAGGTTGTGATTTGCTAGGTTATGTTGGGTTATGTTATTTTTATTTGCGTTGGAATAATTTTGGTTTTGGTTAATTAGGTTCTGTTCAGTTACATTATTATTATTGTTTATTTGACTGCAAATGGGTTTTTACCCGGTGGCAGTGGTCCTACAATAAGAATCAAAACAATAAGACACAAAAATGTTAATTATGGTAATTTCCTTTAGGTTATGTTGTGTTAAATTTTATTAAATTGGGCTCATTTTGTTTGGATTAGTTAAGTTGTGCCCCTTGTATTAGTTTGGATTACGTTAAGCTAGTTTGGGGAAGAGAAATGTTGACATTTGACTATTTTGATATGCTGTTCATTGATTCCCCAGGTTTTATCAAGCCAAAAATAATCATTTCACTGAGGTAAGAACCCAGGACACTATTCTGGAGTTCTGGGCCTTTTTTTCTTGTTGCCAAAAACAAGCAGCTTTGGCCTTTGCCCTCTTCTTCTGTCATACCTTGTTTCAATGCCAAGGTAAATATGTCTTCCTCTTCCCTGGGACTTGAACCCAGGACAAATTTTTGGGGGGTTGTGGTCTTTGTTCCTGTAATATTACTGGCAACTGAATACCATGGTCTTTACTCTGATCTTCTGTCACGCTTAGTTTCAAAGCTACATAAATTATCTTCACCAGGATTCAAACACAGGACTGGTTTTCAGGGTTCTAGCCTCCATTTTTGTAACATTCTCTTCCAAACCAAAAACTTTGTTATTGACACAGTTCTGTTCTTTACAGTTTGAAGCTACAGGAAATGCCCTTATTGGCAATCGAACTCAGGAAGCTTTTTCCCGAAATATTCGATGTGATCTCTTCTTTGTCTATGTAATAAGTATGCCAAGTTTGATACAGATTGGTCCATCTGTTCTTGAACTATAAGTGAACAAACAAATACGTATAGCTTTCTATGTATATTTTTTTTTATCATGCACCGCTGAGGAGAAACCATGTAGTTTATATATCTGACACATGCATTTTTGGGACCCTCCCATCCCTAACTTTTGAATTAGAAGGATCTCTTTTTCCCCCTGGTGTTGTTAACCTAAGAGGAATATTTTTTGTACGCACTGTTTCTGTGTAGTATTGTTTAAGTTTCTCGTACCCCCTTGTTCCTATTTTCTAATATATAACAAAATCAATAATCTTCCCTGGATTGCCTCTCCAAGAGAAAAATGTTTATTACAGTCCATCATTTGGGAGAATCAACTTGAGACAGATGGACAGACTTTAGTTATTACTTGTATATGGATTATTCAAATTCCAGAATCTAAATGGATCTGAAGTCTTTGTATCAAACAGCTTCATTTTCCAAAATCCTGGATATTCACTGTGTTCAATATTCTGCAAGATGTACATCACCCGTAGCCACGTGTGTGAGTGAAGTCAAGATTATGTGTACTGTAAATCAAAGCCATTGAGCTGAGAGACATGATTCTCATCTGAGATGTTACCAGAAACAACAAAAAGTGCAGCCCTGGGCTGGTAGACTTTAGTCATTGAGGTCTGCTCGTTATGTGGGAGCATACGTTATGGTGCTTGTTGTTATCAATGGGCTGCCAGCTGTTCGGAGCAGAAGTTTTTTTATGCTGTGAACAGCTGCAGGTGCATCCGGTTGTGGGAACACAAGGGGCTCAGCACTTCAGTGAGACTGCCCTCTGGGTGCAGCTGAGCTGCTCATCTTAAGTACAAATTTATTTAATTGGGTCAGACTGCAAGGGCTGGAATACCAGTGAAGCAGGTAGGAACTGATTGACCCAGGAGCCACAGTTAACAGAAAAAGACATTTTATTAGTTTTGTATTGTCTGTTACTTTGAGGGAGCTATGTGATGTCATATATGTTTGGAAACAGGGCACTCTTGGATTTATTTAACCTAAGAAAAATAATATAAACAGGATGGAGGAAATTAAATTATGAGAAACTTTGTGATTTACATTGATAACCTATTATGTTATTGAAGTGATATCTAAGAGGTTAGTGTCAGCTGGACGTATAGCTAGGTGCAAGGGGGAAATTATGCTCACAGAATTTTGGTGTGGATATCTGTTGAAAAATGTACACTGGGACGATCAGAAAGCAGGCCTAGTTATGATCAGTAATTAGGTCATGATGATATGAACTGGTGGGTTCAGCTAGCAGACTGTATTCAGAAATATTGGTAAGTATCAGTGATTCTTATCACATAAAAATGCATAATTGAGAGGTCACCATCATGTTTCATGTCCAAAATTTGTGGATTTTGATTAAATTTCATATTTTATAGTACATACTGAAAGTTATTAGACTAATTAAAATTAAAGTTAATAAAACTTATGGTGAACTATACAAACAGCATAAAATATAATCCTTTTAAAATTTATAACTTGTAACTGAAATATTTTTCAGTGTGGTGAATACTAAATGAAATGGTTTACTCGTGTGTGTAGTTAAATACCCGTCCGTACACTTCACTTGAATGTGCCGTGTTACTGCATAGTCTCTCTGACATGTGACCTCAGGGTAATGACTGTCATAATGGCAGCTGATGAGGTCAGCCATTCACCTTATTGACCCTCATTAACTGACAGGGTGACCAACACACAAGCAATTCAGAGTAGGGGTTACCATTTCTGCTTTACAGTCAGCAGGTCCTAGGTTTGAATGCCTTTAGCATTGCTTCTTCACAGTCTGTCCATCTGAATGCTGGAATAGAACTGTGACCCCATCCTCCATGCTTCCTTTTATTGAACCAAGAAATTTACAGTGTTTTCCTGTTGTGGATCCCCTTTCAGGATTTATGATAGGGAACAGAACACGAAGGCTGACCATTAACCTGAGTCATGTGTGTGTGTGTTCTCATCCTTACCATCTTGTAAATGATTTTTTTTTAGAGGTTTTCTCACCAAAATTTGCAGTTGGCATTTGTTTCCCTACTGCAGCCTGTCACCAGCTGTTTCAGAGTACTAAGTCAAGTTGCAAAGGCCATTCGTCTGCTTTGCCTTACATCACAAGAGGTTGTAAACCTGCTTCACTGTTATTTTCATTATCATGGGTCTCTGTAGGTCTGTGTGCCCTAATGTGGTATAAAAATGGCCTGTGGTGTTAGGGACACCCCTGCACAGCACCTGCCCCCATATAACTGCAGGGTGGGGGGAGGCCATTATGTGTTTCTATATGCGAGTGGCTGGCCCTCTGGCCCATAACCTGCTGCAGCGACTCTGCACCGAGATGGCCGATGTTGCCGTCGGCATGAAGCGGCGCCTTCTTTACCCTTTACGGCGGCTGATGTCTCGCTACGATGACGTGCTGCCACCAGAGTGCAGCACCGAATCACAAGGTAACAGCTAGAACTGAAAAAACCATGGTCTGTATTTTGAACTGCTGGTGATTCTATAGGAACTGGTTGTGATCTGTTTGTTTTGCATTTAGCAAGTTCCCCCCCCCACCCATAATTTTAATCACATTTACCTACTAACACAGTGGTGTGAATCTGCAAAACTCAATTTTGTGAAGTTTCATACTTTTCTGAAAATTTGTCAAGTGAATTTTTATTTTTTCCTCTGTTTTTAGAAATCTTTATTCACATGAAACTAAAACATAAACTTATTTGTACTTCATTAAAAAAGTATTTATTGCACAATAAATGTGCCTCTTTTATATGACTGACTGATGGTGCTTTAAATAAAATCCTAAAAACCTGCATTTAAAGGCAAAGAAAAGAAAGGAGGAGGTATAATTTGTGCTAGATACAGAGGGATTAGGAGTTATTTCTGTCGCACAGTAGGAGGGGGGGGGTGTCTCCAGGAGACCTGTCTCCCACAGAGCCAGTCTTGTCAGCCAGTCTCTCATTTCATACCTGAGAGTACATCTGTGTGGCTGCCATGTCCACCTTTGTGCCACAACAGGGAACAGCTGTTCGCAGAGTAGCAACATTCAATGTGTCTTCTCGCAGGGAGAAGAGTTTATCTGCATCCGTCAGTTACACAACTGCACCTTCACGCATGTTCACCAGTAAGTTAGGTTAGGTTGGGTTAGTTGCACTTTTCTTAACTGGGACCTACTAGTGACAATTATCAGTCTTTCAAGAAAGACCTAAATTATGTAATAATGTGCCACCATGAAGGTAATGTGAATATTTGGCACACCTGTTGAACCCAAATATTTTGTTAATAAAAATTATACATTTTTAACATTCTGGCTAGTTTGTATGGCACTGATATTTTTCTGAGCACAGAGACTTGCCATGTTGGTACTGTTAAAAGTAAAGAAATGGGCTTGGTCTTAATGGTATGATAAAGTAGAGGCTAGGATAATGATTTTGATGGACACAGAGGCAGTTGTACTATATGCTGAAGTGATGGATGAATGTAACAGCTGCTGCAGTGTCTTGGGATGGAAGTGTCTGCATCAGAAGCCCCACATACACACTGTACTGTTTGTTCTCTCAGATCTTTTTTAATATTATCTTTTTATAAGTATCTGAAGTGATCTCTTCTAATGAATATATTCCAACATTTTAAAACATTTCTTATCTCTCCCATATCCCATGAACTTCTTTACTTCCTTCCTTCTTTCCCTCCTTCAGAGTGAGAAATAAAGTTCCATATCCGTATAAAACAAACGAACATTATGGATATTCCGTCAGAGATCTTTAAAATAGGCCACAGTAGGTTAAGTAGGATTAAATACTTGAAAGCACAAATCAACAAATGTCAGCTCCTGTCTACAGTTACTTGTGTTGGGATACTGAGCTGGGGATGATGGATGATGAGGCAAGGGTGGAATATCCCAGGTGTGTCAGCTAATTTTGTAGCATTTATTCATAGTCCAGTTTATGATTTCATGATTCCGGTCTCAATAACAACATATCTGCATGTGGCAGAGAGGATTAGTGTTGGTAAAAGCTGCAAAATTTGTCTCTCATATATTATAATCTCAACCTCTGAATCATGAACTGTAGGCATTTCTTGCTGTATTCTGTTCCCTATGATCTGGTGCAAAAGTTGCGGGTGTGCTGTGTTGTGCCGGCTGACACGAGTATCAAATATCTTTAAATTAGGCCACAGTAGGTTAAGTAGGTGCTGTGTTGTGCCGGCTGACACGAGTGTTACGCGCTGCTTAACAGAGAGGACGCCGACACCAGAAGTGAAGAAGGCTGCGACACTGCCTACTGCCAGCCACAAGCTGTCTCCAGCGGATCAGCGACCAGTCACATTGCAGGGTAGCCAACGCCCACTACCACCCACACCAGAGGACAAGAAGTTACTAGAGAAGCCTGGCAGTGAGTACTAACTGTGTAGTCTGGATGCAAACACGTGTGAAGCATGAATTTGATTTGAACTATTGAACGTTAAAGTGAATACAGTGCTTCAGATTCATGCAATAACTGTAGTGTGACTTTAATACTTTACCATGTAAACTGTTGTTTCAGCTGCCAGATCACGCAGAACCTCTAAGGTGGGACTCTCGCACCAGCCGTGGTATCACAATGTGGATCGAAAGCAAGGCGAGGATATGCTGCGGAATGGTCAGTATTGAGTGCAGAGGTGCTTTTGTATAATTGCATTAAAGAGCATGCATGGAAGAGGTGAGAATTAGTTTTGGGAACTCGTGCTTTGGGACGCCAGAATGTAAATGGGAGGATAATATTAAAAATCTGCAGGATTTGATATTTTCATTGCAATGTCAGTATAGTTGGTGATCTTCTTGGATGTTGTGCTATGTATCATTTTGCCTGTTTTCCAGTGTTTTTGTGGAGCTTAGCTGCTCTGTCTTCAGGGCTGAAGGTGGATATTTTTATGTTCCTCAAAAATTCTGGCAACAACCCAGAAGACCAGCATCAGTATTAAAACTTGTTTGGAGGAAATATTGCTGTGAAATGACAGGCCTAATTGCTTAGTATTCAGCAGTTTTTATCAAGGAAGTTGAGACAGGCCAGAAATACAGCACATGGGGAAACAAGAAACATGGCCATAGGTATCGCTAAGATGAATTGTCGGAATATTGCAGGGGAGAACGGCAGTTTCCTCGTTCGCCCATCATCACAGCCGCAGAATCCCTTGACGCTCGTGCTGTGGTACAACAGGCGACTGTACAACATTAGTATCCGATACAGAGCAGATGGACGCTATGCGCTTGGATCTGAGAAGGCAAATGAGCTGGTATGTTGTCTCCAATTGGTCCTGAAGCAGTCCAGGCCCATCACTTAGGCAAAGGCACTGAATATACTGGTTTGTGTTCGCTGGCGAGTGTCTCGAGGGAATTTCTTGTGTTGCAGAGTTTTGCATCGGTGGAGGAACTGGTGCAGAACTACCAATCTGAGAAGCTGGTGCTGTTCAGTGCGGGTGAGAAGACAGGCCGCACGCTGCTCACTTCTTCGCCACCTCAGAGTTTTCAACACAGCATGTGATTCTTCCCAATGTACGAAACAGCTCCGTGATTTGGTCAGTGAGAAGGTTCATAGTATGCAGTTGGGCAGTCTGTCTCACTCGTTGTTTGTTAGTGACTTCCTGTTTACAGCAGAAGTTGTGAATTCTCCTGGAAAAGCAGTGACAACCGGCATCCTTGCCAGCTTGTGTGCTGGTTTCTAAGTGACAATACTAGTAAATATCACAAGCTGATACAGCATTGTTAAAGGAGGGGTTTCTCAGGATGTTCACAATGTGCAGTTGGTAGATCTGCATGCCAAGTGCTGTGTCCACTGTGTTTCCAGACCAAAGTGACCAAGCCCAGAGGTTTTTTCTTGCTGTTACAGCAAATCCCACCATTGAACCTTGTTTGTGTGATGATGGTCTTTTTGTGCCTGCCAGCAGGCATGCAGGAAACTGCTCTAAGGGGCACGTTTGTGATTTATTTGTAGCTGACAGCTATGTATAAAGCTGGCATGTTGGGCATTTTGAGAGAACAGGAATTTAGTTCAACACTTGTGAAGAAATTAGAACAAGCAAGATTACTGACTGGTACATAAGAGAGTCATTGCTGGGTTCGTGGTGGCTACCATTGCCTCCGACAGGCTTGCAATTATTATTGGTGCAATGTATTGCATTGCTCGATACAACAGGCATGTGAAGTCTCATGCTATTTTCAACCTATTACTTCCACTGTGATTTGTTTTTATCTAAAGTAACATGATTCTGTACATAAGGAACGTGATGGTATGCCTTATTGCCATAGTATCTTGCATTGGTTATATGATAGGAGGGGTGGACGCCTGCAGGTGTTGCCATAGTATCTTGCATTGGTAATATGATAGGAGGGGTGGACGCCTGCAGTCTGTCTGTTGCCTTGTAAAATAGCTGACTGCACAGTTCATTCTGATTAGTGTCAGTATGTTAAGACGTTGTTGCACTTAACATACTAAGATGTAAATTAATCTGAGTCTCTTGGGTACAGCTAAGTGTTGGTTAACAAAACACCATCTGCGATCCATGTCTACTACAATTTCTGTTGTACAGTTGCTTCCCATTGTGAATCTGGATCCACTCCAGCTGGTGGTTACTTGTTTATGTGTTCCATACTACTCATTGTATTCTTTAACCCAAGGGCATGGCCTCTTTGCCCTGAGATGGATGGTCACCTGGTTGTGGGTGGGTTCTTTCAGTATGACAGAAAGTGGGACCAACCTGATGATCGTCGAATAATACAAGTCTGAAGTGTAACCAAAAGGGTGTGACGTAGCCCTCGAAAGTCATATAATTCCCATTGAACCAAAGAACATTGATTATATTGCAACAGGGTGGAAGCTGTTTGTGCTTTGTCCTCAGTTATTTTCATTTTTCCTTGTTCTGGCCTTGCACAAGCATTATTCTGTTTTGCCCACTGCCTTCCTCATAACATGTGATGTTCTGGTTTCAGATTTTATCCCTCCTTGTTAATTTGTCTCTTCTGGAATTGTCCTCAGTGATAAAGGAAATGAACTATGGTCAATATAGCAATTGTTTTGTAAATCTCTTGCAGCTGTTTTCTTTCATAGTGAATTCAGTAGTACCAAATTAATGAGTTTTAAAACAGAACAGGCAGGGCATCAGTTTTGCTGCAAGGTTTATGTTGTACAGGGCTGAATATAATAAACTTTTCTGCCATGTCAGTTATTTCGTGTCATCCTGCTATCATTTTACTCATTTCTGTTGCATTTGTAGTACGTGTTAATCGTAAAGTGTAAAATGCTAGTCGCAGAGGGTCTACTGCATGCACACTGGGATTGAACATGTATGTCCTGTACAAAACCTTGAACAATTTGATGAAATTTGCATATATTTGTAGTTGTTACCATAAACATTTCAGGATTTTACAGAAGGTAATGCTAGCGTTGTTACCATCTTGCAGTCCGTGCAGCCTCCGTACTGGTGTCTGCAATACAGCGGCTGTATGGAAAATTAAAACTATTGGTAAAATACCCATACCAAATTTAATCAAAATCTGTCCAACGGTATTCCGAGTTTAAAACTATGGGGCGGGCACAGTGAGCGTTAATTTTGTGCACAGTTTGTAAATAATGCATATTATGTTTATGTATTGGCATTGCCAACGCATATTCAACTTTGCTTTAGAATACACCATTTTGAAATTGAACGGGACATTTCAGCATCTGGTCCATTCTGCTGATGTAAGTATATTAGGGAATAACATAAATACCATAAAGAAAAACACAAAAGCTCAAGTTGTTTTAGTAATGAGGTTTATCCACAAGTAAACACAGACAAAATTAAGTATATATTGATGTCTCGTCACCAAAACGCAGGGCAAAATTGTAACATAAAGATGGCTAATGGATCCTTTGAAAATGTGGCAAAGTTCAAATATTTGGGAGTGACAGTAACAAATCAAAATTTGATTCATGAGGAAATTTAGAGCAGATTAAATTTTGTTGATGCTTGCTACCATTTAGTGCAGAAACTTGTGTCTTTTTGTCTGCTGTCTAAAAACAAAGATTAAAATATAGAACAGCATAATTTTGCCTGTAGTTTTGTATGGGTGTAAAACTGACACGAAGGGAGGATTGTAAAATGTAGGTGTTAAAACAGGCTGCTGAAGAGAATATTTGGACTTATGAGGGATAAGTTACTAATGGGCTGGGGAAAGTTGCACAATTTGGGGCTTCATAAGTTTCACCAAGTATAACGAGACATCGAGTATGAGATGGGCTGGTCATGTAGTACGGATGGGATAGTTGAAGCAGTCCCACTATACGCCATGTAGGCGCTTGGGGGAGCGAAGGTTTAGCTCCTACTCATTCTTGACCTCGGCAGCAATTTTGTTATGAATCTTAATTTGCAGGGATAACTTACAACATTATGAGACGTGTTTGGTAATTCATGGTATTGTTTAAAATGCAAATTACTGAAAGGATGCGATGCCTGTGGTTTAGCATTTCACCGCTACGTTTCCATTGCCATGACAATGTTAACACTCGGGGCCGGAATTTATGCGTATGAAGGTTGTGTTTCATTTCAAGCTACAATTCTGTTTTGATTAATGCTTTTCTTGCTGTTTTTTCATGGGACGAGAATAAGTGGTTTCTCTTCCCTGTTAAGTACACTGACGTTTCAGCCTCACAGACAGAATAGTGCGTAGTAAATTTGTTATTAGAATTTTAAAAGATGACTAGCATTATTCATTCATCAGAAGGAGAGTCTGGATGTGACCAGCCGATTATTTCTAAAGGTTAGTATTTTAGTGTATGATCTGAACCTTTCACGACTAAGTATAATGAATTATTCTCGCGTTACCAGCCGTGTAAGGTGGTCTTCGACCCTGAGGACGATGAAGATGGTTCACGAAACGCTGGTGTTTCCTCCATTAAACCACCTTACACGGTTGGTAGCCCGAGAAGAATTCATGATAGTATTTCAAAATATGTATTGAACACATAAGAGTGCCGCCTGCTGTTTTTTAAGTTGACGTTTACTTTATTTAAACTAACTTAATCCTACGTAGCCTGCATAAAATCCTTGTGAGTTGTGTGAAATTTAAAAAAACATCCTAACTAGGAGAGGGAAGCGTACTTAATTGTTGATATTTGCATGATTGTGCCATGTTTGCTTCAGAAGGGAGGGAAGCGTACTTAATTGTTGATATGTGCATGATTGTGCCATGTTTGCTTCAGAGCAATTTTCTTTGAATTTAGTTGTAGGTGAGTGTTATAAATAACAATATGAACAAACAGTAATGAAAGGTCTGTGAATGGGTACCATATTATTGACACTCTGTAATATTACATGGCTTCTCAATTCTTTGTGCTCTCACCATGAGAAGAATATTTGTTTCTTTGAATTCATAGTTGAATTGTGTTTTACTGGCAGCACTGGAGAACATGACAGTTGCAGCAGGTCTGCCTGTTGCAGGGAGCTTTGTTACAGAAATCCAAAGCATGATGCATGGGTTTGGAGATGCCCGAAGTCCATTACCAGAGTCTGCGAGCCTTATAGAGAGTATCGTTCAGCAACAGCAGAGGGCAGTCATCAGTCAAGCTGCAGATATGGCTACAATGCGTGGTTCCAAATGCATTGGTCCAGAAGACATCTTGTTCCTCCTGAGGAAGGATCGGATTAAAATGCACAGGCTGATGAAGTACCTAGGTATGTGTTGTTGACTTTTAAATAAGAACTGCATGAGTGTGGCTGCACTGCAGCTCATTCTGCTTTGTGTTGCTTGGCAGCTGTGAAGGACATGAAGAAGAATATTAACAGTGTTCTTTTGGAATCATCACTGGATGGGGACCTGATGCTGGAGACACCTCGTGGTTCAGGAAAAAAACAAACTAATCTGTGCATGGACTTTCTGCGGTCGATCGACCAGACCGGTGAGCTCACAGATACATGCACCTTGCCAGTTGACATGGTCAAGCATGAACGGAATGTTCGTGCTGAGCGTTCATCACGTGTGCTGGATGAAACCAGGTGGGTGGCGTTACATTACACATGAATTTGCTCAGTCCCTGCTGCAAAAGTTTTCATCCATTTGTATTGATTTGTCAGTACAACTTCTGTGATGTAAATACTTGATATTAGAACATGAATTAGAAAATTTCTCTGTCCTATGAATTTGAATCCAAAGGAAGTATTTTAGTGGTGACATCTTGTGTGTCTCAACAGTATTCCTCTGAAGCATCTGGTAATTTTTTCTATGACTCTTTTTTTAGCAAATTTGATCTGTTCTACATTCTGTTCCGTCTTTTTTCATGTTCTGTGCCTTTTGCTGGTTTTCTTGGGTGTGAAGGTTCATCAACAAATGGGATAATAAAAAAGAATAAAAACTTTAATGTTTGCGATCTTATTTTATATTCTACACATTAGTGACTTTGGTTTTATTCCCATATATGAAGTTCTTGTGACTTCTATGTCGGTATTCTTGTTCTTTGGTTTTTATGGCTGGAGTTTAATGTATAACTTTGGCTTTCGGGAATGAGCCACAACAGATGTTGAAGTTTTTCTGTTTCAACAAACATTGCAGCTGCCATCTTTAGGGTGATCCTTGTTCCTGAAAGCTGTTGGTCCTGCAGAACTGAAAAAAAGATGGTTGGGTATAGAGGCACTTTGGAGACATTTGTATGAAATTTCATGAGTATTGTCTCTTGGGCACATCAGGAATTTATTATATTTTAGAACAGTCTCTACTTTAGTTGTTTACAGGTATCTGGAATTTGTGAATGCACGTAGAGCTTCATTTGTCAGCCTGAAGTCGGCGTCAAAGTTTCGTGAGTTGCTGCAAACAAGTTCAGATGGCAACTTTGAAGCTCTAAAACTTAGCGGCGTGACTTACGACTTACTGGGTAAGTTTTAGTTGCATATTAAAACTGTAAGATAATCCAAGTAGCTGTCTGAGGGTCTTACTTTGAATCAAAGCATGCAAGTATTTGTGGGAAAAATTGTCAGTAAGAATTCACTCTGCTTTGAGAGGTCATGAGCTGGAAACAGGATTTATCTGGAAAATCTGTTAACTGTGTTGCAATGACGTACATTGTTATTCAGATTTAGTAATTAAAGTACACTTTGTATGTCTGTCAAGGGGGGACTAGACATAAGTATTATGATGATTAATAACATTGAGAAAGTTGTATGAAGTAATATAAAGACAGATGTTACACAATTACAGTTTTATTTGGTGAACATCAAACAGAAAAATGTAGACCTGTCATATATCACATTAATATTTATCCCACTTTGCCATTCTAAAAGGAATTGTTCATATTCTTAATAAATGTGCAATGTGCCATTCCCTCCTCTTATTGTGTGTGCTTAGAATGGGGAACTAGTTCCATAGTAATTTTAAAGAAATTAAATTGAATATAATTTATGATGAAAAAGGCAATGGTTAGCTTCCAGGCCTTGTTGTCATTTGTGGTGTCGCTGTGAGAGACAATCCAGTCCATGTCCTTGCAGGTTATATGGCTTATGAAACAGTGGCGCAGATTGTGGACTTGGCACTGCTTGTGAGACGCGACAGTTTGACACGTCCGGGCATGCCATTTAGCCGGTACATACCAGGGGCAGGATATTCAACGAGCCATACTCTGGACTCCCAACAGGTAGGAAGTCTAAGAGATGGTCCTTCAGCTGACAAGAAGAAACCTGCACTGCGAAGTTGTTGGTTCATATAAAAAATGGAGGGGCACAGGACACAACATTCGCAGTTTGTGAAATCTGGCCAACTAACCTCACATTGAGCATGACTGTAGCAACTTAGTCAAGACAGCAAAATCATTGCATGCTTTGTGTTTAGGTTTGTTCATTCTAGCTCATTCAGATTTTTTATGACTCTCTAGTCACATGTCATGGTAGTTGAATCAACTAACTTCATGGAGTAGAGTTCTTCTTGAAAACCTGATAGTTGCTTGGCAAGTGAGGAACTTTTCCCATCTTTTGGCTCATTACTGTCACAAGAGCTTTCCACCAGTCCCTGTCTTGAGCCTGATCACTGTGGTCCTCACCCCCTCAACCTATATCTTTAAGGTACATTTTAATATCATGCTCACATCTCTACTTAGGTATTGTGAGTGATCTCTTCCTTTCAGGCTTTCCAAACAAAATTTTGCATACATTCCTCATCTCCCCAACCATTGCATCCTCCTTGATATGGTCATCCTATGAAATTCCATACTAATCATTTTTCTCCAGTCTTTTGTCACTTCGGCTCTTTTAGGTCCAAACATTTTTTTCAGCCGTTCTGTTCTTGAACACATTCAGTCTTGTGTTCTTCCCTGAACATGAGAGACCACGTTTCACCCATTCAACTGGTAAAATTGCAATTTTGTTTATGTTAATATTTTATGTTTTTAGAAAGAAGACATGAAGGCAGAAGGTTCTGAACTGCATGGTAGCAAACATTCTATAAATGTAATGTGCTTTTAATTTTTATGTGAATACAAGTTTGATATTTTAATAGTTGAATTTTGTCACACTTTTAAACATTATATGCTCTTTTGGTGATGAGACATAAACATGTATTTAGTTTTCAATGCATTCACTTCTGGACCAACTTTTAATTTAGCTTTTAATAGAGTTTTTGCATTTTTATTTATGGCATTTATGTGTTTGCCCAGTAAGTTTACTTAATCAAAACAAAGCAAAAGCTGGTGTGTCCCATTCTGCTCCCTCTACCTGTCCGTCTTCCATTTCCATCACTCGGAGAGGAGTGGCAAGTGTAAGAGAGTTTGACTGTTGCAGATAGAGTTTGCTGATCCACTAACCCCAGCTGAGATCAGGGAGGCACTGCGACGTTACTGCAGCTGCTACATCGGACCTGGTGCTGTGTTTACGTGCAGTGCTGCGTCACATGCGCGCACACGTTTGTTAAGTTGTTGATAGGAGTCACATGAGCTGCGGCACAGTGTACTAATGTTAAGTTAGGTTTATTCCTAGGTAATTTGATGGATCTCAGAGTATTCGTACTAATGTTAAGTTAAGTTTATTCATAGGTAATTTGATGGATCTCAGAGTATTCTTTGTTTCGCAGAGGAGAAGATGTATTTAATTTGTGATTTATGAAAAATATCAGAATGAATTATGTATACTCGTAAATTAAAAGCTAATTACATACACTGTTCCATGTTGTAAATTTTCCTCCATGTAATATTGAAATTCTTCCATCATCCAGGGCTTTGGTCAGTGTTAAGTGTCCACTGTCTCTCATAGGAACCTAAAATGTAAATTTTTATGTGTGTTGAAAAATAAGGAAGGGATGAGCCTTTATAAGGGATTTGAGGGTGCCACAGCTCAAAAGTAATATGACTTGAGTGCTGACTCACTTATGTAGTAATTTGGAAAAATAAGTCAGAGGGTGATACATGTAAAACTCTAGTGAAGATCGTATGGATCATCATCTTCCACATGTCCTTCAAGTTCTGTAGCCATCCTGCTCATAGGAATGTTGGTGGTTACAGGCTGGAACTGGCTGCAGGAGTCTTGATATAAATACTGTTGTAGGAAGAGATGGGAAGCCACAAGTACTGTCATGTCATGGTCTTCATTCTGCAGCTTCGGTATGATTGATACAAAATGTTTGTTATATTATGGAAGGGTCAAGTTGTGGTGATAACATTAACCTTTGTGTAGATGGATATCACAAGGCTGTAGCTAAAGATAAATCACTGATTTAGGAAATACATCATTTTTTTGGTATAATTTACTGTTCTGATATGAAACCATTGTGCCAGGGTAAAGCTAGTCATCTCATCGGTCAGACAGTTTAGGTTATGTACAGTGGACTGAGGAGTGAGTCCCTGACTTTTGGTCAAGGGGTGCCAGGCCACAAGAGCTAAATGGGTAAAAATACAAAGAATCATTGCATTGCTTTCAGCCCATAATTGAAACACCAAGGCTATCCAATGTGCCAGATTCCTGTCAGTGTAAGCACACCCTCTTTATAGTTCTAAGGGACTGTTTACTGTTTATAGCAATGCGTTTTGTAAACAGGAATGGTGTAACCTAAAAGGGAGAGATATCTTTCGAGGTGGCTTTTTTTGGATATCGCTCATTAATCTCTGATCACAGAGGAAAGGGCAGCCTGAGAAATGTTGGAAACTTAATTTCATGTTCATGTGCCTTCAATGCAATATTGAAGCAACGCTGGGAAAATAGATTTTGAGGACTGTGGATTTTTGTGACCACGCTGCAGAATCATTGCATTTTATGCACGACTCAATCATCGCCCTGGTAATGGGGGCAGCAAAGATATATGAGACGTTCGTAGACTTCTACCACAATACAGGACGCTACATCCCAGAAAACAGACATCTTCTTTGATATGTATTAATACAACACCTTTATGACTTTTCCGTTAAAAAGAGAATATTTTATCTTAAAAGAATATAATTAATGCATTTTCGTGCACAGCATTTGAGATTAATTGGTAATCGTAAGTAAATTAGTTAAAAATGCAATCTTCATACGTGCAACATCCTGCTGTTATTCATCGTCGGTGTTACATGGTTGGAGTAGCAGTATCTTTCCTAATATTAACTTTGCATTGTATATAGATTTTTTAAAGTTTCTATGTTCGTGTGTTTTACCCTTCCTTTGTAACTGCATAATTCATTGTTTGTTTCGGGTCTTCATATTCTGGAATATGTAAATGAGAAAAAAAGATAAATTTTGCCATTGAATACTGAAGAATACAATTTTTGCTGTGACTGAACACCTTCGCCTCAATTGCGTGATGTCACTTGAAAATGAGGTTACGAGTGAGAAAATATTGGAGTCTGCTTTCGCAACGCATAGACATAATGTTAATGTTGATGAAGCAAGGTAATATTTGTTAGAGTTTCTTATGGAACAGCTCTGAAATTGCAATTAATGTATATTAAAGGTCGGGTGATGTACAAATGACCTGCCGATATGTAAAGTTTAAGCTGCTTGAGAAACATTTGTGGCCTATTCGTTTTTGAAATTAAACAGCTTTTATGGCCGATATTAATATTCACACCATTATGTAGCAAGAGATAAATAATAACTTTTTTGTGAATGTATGGTATAAGTCTTGTAATTACTTGAAATTTAAAAAAATATATGTAATCTTTAATTTTGAGGTTATATATGAATATATGTGCTGATAAAATTCATTCACATGAGCCTGAATCAATTTACCTTAGCATCAGTCTGTTCTTTAGGGTCAAGTTTTAACATTTCTCAATTTGTAGAACTTATGTCAATGTTCTTGGCTCAGAAACATTTCTCACTGTGAAGGATTTAAAAGAATTGTATGACCCTTAATCTGCTGATAATGCCATGATCTGATCTTATCATGTCATTCCTGGAATATTCTGTTTTAAATTGTATGTCTTTATGATTTGATATGCCACCATTAAATTTATGCGTTCTTACTTTTAGGCTGGCCTGTGAAGGAGCAATGGAAGAGTGGGACAGTGTTGCAACAGTGGAGACAGCGTTCAGGAACAGTCTGGAGCCTCGACACTCGGTCATGCCACACATCACAGTGCATCAGGCACTGGTGTTTTTCCAGGCACATGTCCTGTCAGTACAGTTGGTAATCTGATGATTCAATAATCTGAGTTGGGGTAGCAGCGTAGTGTCATTTGTTATGGGTGTCTTTCTTTTTCAGACAGATTTGAAAGGACAGAGCATTTGACAATGTATCACCACTACAGATATCTTGCTGTTATCATCCATTTATTTTTCACCTACTCAGAGTTTTATCATCCCATGAAAATATTCAGTTTAATGGGTGAATTGATTGACTGATTAGATGATGTAAAATTTAACCATCTGCACTGTCACCCACAAAGTAATTGAGATCAGAACCTGATCTGCTTCCATTACTTCAAGGATATCCTGTTGACTTTTACAGACAGAGGTGCGAGGCAGTGTGGAGCCCCGGGGTCTGTGCACCCTGCTGTCGTGTCTGCTTGGCCCACCGGAACTTCATGACCACCTGATGGCAGAACGAGATCTTGTGTTTGCAATTGCCCAGTGTAAGTTGTGATCGTCATCATGTTTGTGCACAGTCTTGGTTTTCTAAATGTTTCTTAACAGAACCTCAAGGTCAAAGATCATTAATGAGATAACTTGCCAATGGATACAGTCTAGTCTACAGTTTTGCAACATGTTTCCAAAAGATCCATTTTAATATTACCCTTTTATAACTCATTGATGGTTTCATTCAAATAATTAGTGTATGGAACAGCTATTCCATTTTTTCTGGGTATTTAAACTTAAAATAAAGTTTCGCTGTATTTTACTAGGTAGCGAGGGGCATTGCCTTTTAATATAACCACTTTTACACTGTTAAGGTGAAAGGATTAAAGTATTAACCTGAGATTAATCTGGAGAGACTGAGAAGAAGTGTGAAAAGTATTGATCATGATAGATAGTTACCTGATTCTGAAGTCACAATATTACTCTTTAAAATACTGATGTGTGTGTCTGACATGTCATCACTAATATTCGTACATGAGGCACTTGCTTACCGTCAAGCCTCGTTAACTACCAACATCAGTTCCAAGTAGCATGTGATAAAGTGAAGGCGGGACCACAGAGTGATGTTACAGAATCTCACAAACTCCATCTACGTGTCCTGCATCTTGCTGAATCGAACGTATTATGAAGTCTCCTCCCAGAGTTGCATGTACGTGACTTACAGTGTGGAGTGGTGTTGCAGGCAAGCTGGACATGTCTGAGCCGGTGCACCTACGTATGCTGCGGACTGTGTATCGGCGACTGACAGGCGCGCAGGTCGACTGTCCACGCTATGGATCACACTGGGAGCACATCGGCTTTCAGGTGCGCATTCTGTATTATCGCACTGCTGTGTCCTTTTGAATAATTTTTGGATCGGTTGGAAGACGCTTTGAACATCAGTAACATCAGCGTTGCAGTTTTGAGGTCAGGGAGGAACTGATGACACCTTGTTATTTTGTGTGATGATACATCTTCAAAAAATACGTGACTATTTTTAGGCTTCTTTAATGTTGTCTTCAGCATATAGAATTTCATTAGTTTTATAATTATTCATTTACGTGATAAGCAGGCCTTGTACATGTGGAAATGTTTAAGCTGTTCTTGCTGGTCTCTCGAAACATGGAAATCTAAAATGAGAAGGAATCCGCACAGCAACATATTATAATTTAAATGTGTCCGATTTTGGTTTTGGTAGGAAACAGTAGAAGATAATCCATAGCTGAAGTCATTTAAACCAAAATAACAGGCCTGTCTTCCGATGTGAGCTGCGCAAGTGCCAAAAGGGATATTAGAGCGTAATGTTAAGACGGATCTCGGAGAGATGGGTTGTGGGATGTGGACTGGCTGTAGTATTAACAGAGTTGTAATTTTGGATTACTTTGATAATGAGCGCTCGTCATAGGGCACGGACCCTGGGACGGATTTGCGCGGCGTGGGAATGCTGGGCCTTCTGCAGCTTCTGTACCTGTCTAACAGCCCGCATCTCTTCCCGCTGGCCCGCGACATCTACAGGGTGTCGGCGGATGACCGGCAAAACTTTCCGCTCGCCGCGATGAGCCTGAACATGACTCGCATCGCCCTTCAGGCCCTTCGCCACGGCGAGCTGAACAGGTAATGGCTTCACCATAGTACAGACAGTTGCGTTTTGTTCACTTCGTTGTTTGATCTGCACATTTATTAAAATGTAAAATGTTTAAATCACTGTCACATGTCGCAAGTTAAGTAAACATCTGACATGTTCCTGTTTCAGGGAGTGCAATCACCACCAGCTGGTGATGGAGGTGGTGAATCAGTTCTATGCAGCTGTGTTTCACCACACACTGCACATCTGGACTTCACAGCATAAGACCATCAGGGACTCTGGATATGTTCTGAAAGGTACTGTTCTTTGTGCGCAGGGTCACATTTCTTCCAGATCGTGTATCGCGGTTATGCACGTGGGGTTGGTATCAATGTGCGAAGTAGTTATTATGTCCTTACCGCGTCCTTGAACTTTCTGTCAATGACCTCGACTGTTACAGATGTGGAGTTCTATTGTCGTGGAAATGTGCGTGCTGTGTTGCGGGACCTGCGGGAGCAGCTCGCGTCATACGCGTCGGCCCGTTCCTGTGACAAGCCGTGCCTCCCTGGCAGCTTCCAGGATCTGCTCACTCAAGCGAAAACAGAAGTGTTCATATAGGAAAGCGAGAATGTACGTTGTGTTGTGCGGAAAGGCCTATGAAGTGATAAGCCTTGCAGCTTTGTAGGTAACTAAGAAACATGTGATGCGAGATTTGCTCATCTCTGAAAGAGGCCGTGCAGACCTTCGGCCACGTAACGCCGGTGATATAGCTCAAGTTTTTGACGGTGGATGAAGTAAGTGCTCAAATTATATTCATCATGGTTGCGTGTTGTGGGGTCGTGTTAAGCAGGGTAGTGTCTGGGGACGTTTTTGGCCGCTGGTTCTGTTTGCGGCGCGTCTTAGCACCTAGAGAAGTATTTATAAGATTAGATTTACGCGTCTCTTGGCTGCGTCTTAAAATTTAGCTGCAAATCTAGCAATCTCATTTTCAAACACTGAAATTTGCGGGTAGAATCAGCGCTTCTGTTTTCCTGGTCTATGAGACTCGGCGTTCCAGGATATGAAAGTGACATAAACCAGTCTGAGAGCGAGAAGACGTCTGAGGTGGGTTCGATTCCTTCCAGTGTTGGTTAGGAGGCCAGAGATTGACGGTGATCACTCATTTATGTCTGTTCTGGATGGATATTTCTGTTCAAAGCTGGGACCACGTGTGTTTAATAAAGTAGAAAAGACCGTAGAATTTAAGAACTCTACTGTGTAATGTAAGAATATTTCCGTGCTTTTAATCTATGTACAAGGGGGGAAAAGAAAACTGTAAGGTGCAAGCATTGAATGAACGCTTTGTTCTGCAGGCAGCTTAGTGACTGTGGTCATACAGTTGGCAGTCCCTGCTAATTTTTCAAACTTTTTTTTTCAGACTGTTGGAAAGAAAATAGTCTGCGTTTAGTTGGATGGCGATGCCGTGTCAACCGCAGAAAATATTTAGAGCGCGATAGATGAGAGGATGCATTGTGCAGTCAGACCCATGGGAAGGTACAGTCGGAGGAAAATCGCGCGAGGTTTGAGCTGTGCGTAGGGATGGACGAATGAACCACACAAACTGGTGAGACCACAAACTGAACTGGTGTGCTGGTAGGAACAGTGAGGTGGGGCCTGCCTTATGATGATGTCATTTTTGGATTTAGTTGCCAATCACATGATTCCTGTAAAGATTGCACAGGACATTTATTCCATCTCGTCAGTGTTTACATATTTCTGCTCTCAGAACTTGTCATTTAAAAAAGAAATCACTTTTCAAAAGTGAAGAATGTAGCCGCTGCCCTGACAAGATGCGGTCCGTTAATAATGCAGAGAGAAAAGACGTAAACATGTAACAGCTTCAAAAGTCACTTTTTACCTAAGATATTAACTTATACATTTATTTTTCCGTGGAGTTTTCTCCAAAACAAAAATCACTGTCGCTGTTGCCCGTCCGCATCACGTTACCATGCCGGAGCAGCTCTCCTCTTCGATGGTAACCATAGTAACAGCGCCTCATGTCACTGAAAAGTTTATTTGCTCAAAATATTCAAATGTGCAGATTTACTGTTCTAATTAAAGTCTTTGCTTTGGACATCCGCGAAAAAACGCGTCACCATTCTGCGGCTCTTTCCGACGCGTTTGAAGTAGACAGTATTCACGCTTGTTTATGCGCTGTTGTCTTCAGATGGCAGCACTGTCGAATTATTATGGGTGCAGTGTCGGTGTCTGGAAATGAAAAGGTTGTGATTCTGCATTTAGACAATCAAAGTTCACTAATTCTGCGAGACTTTGGGAAATATATCACAGCAAAAGATGGGCCAGGCACCCCAAATGATGGTACCTTTTTGGCTGTTGCCAGCGTATCCACTGCGCAGTTGGTGCCATGACACTGCTAAATCTAATTACTTGTGTGCAATTAAGGACTGGTCTGTTCTTCATTGCACTGAAAAATAAAATTGCTTATGTAATTGGTGGCATTTAGTGAACTAGTTCCTTTAATCTCGTTGATCCTGAGTACACCTGAGACCTCTGGCCAGTAGTGGTAAGGAGCCTGAACATACTTCAGAACTCTGGATGCTGGTGGTAGCGAAACAGACCTACCTCAAAGTTCGGGGTGCTAGTAGGGGCAGAGCGGCGCGGACGGGTAGGGCACTCGCCCTGGGAACGCGTAGTTGTCCGGGTTGATGGTGCGGCAGATGGAGCTGAAGCGATCCCTTCCCGAGCGCCCGGAGCCGCCGGGCCTCCGTCTGTTGGTAAAAAAAAAGTGAACCAGTTGAACCATGGCGCGGCCTGGACCGCCAGCACCAGAAGCAGAACCACGAGAACCAGCGCGCGCACCATCGCGACCGCCACTGCCGACTGCCTCCGTCGTCACTGCCTTTTATCTGCCCCGTGGGGCGCGGGTGTTGCTACGCTAGCTGCAGCCTCTTTTATCAGCGCCTTCGAAATGCGTCCGGGCGCGTCAGTGGACGGTAGTTTCGTCAATTTCCGATGACTGCGCCAGTGGCCACATGCTTTGTACATGCATGCAAAAATATGGATTCTTCTTTTCTCGTCTTCAGGGTGGGGCGACGACCTCCTGTACAGTCAACATCGCATTCCGTGCATTATGCATGACTGGTGATAGCTGTGTCGGTTTTCATTGAGGCGTTTCAGGGACCGATTGAACGCAGAGATCTCCTCGGATTATTTGGGGTTGTTTCCCCACGCTTCCTCTCCGATACTCGCACGTAACTGGCCCATGACATGCGCAGTTAGCCCTCGCTTCGTTTGTAGTTCGTACTCCGTCCCTAGGGTTCGCCGTCTTCAACTCATCGAGTTCAGAACGGAAACATTTCTTGTTTTGTGCTTGGGTGTGGAACTTGGTCTCCTTCGTTAAGGGGCGAACATAGATTGAGGATACGAGAAAAGGCCGCTAAGTGAAGTGGCCATTTGGACCAAAGAGAGATGGAAGATGTTTCATCTCAGAATGATTTTTGGTGTTATCCAGTTCTTCTCATTGGAATTCTTGCGTAAACTCGAGAATTGGTTCACGTTTGAGATCATTTCACTTTCTTTCCCTCCACCTCAGATTCTTGAGATGTTAAATTGGAAGTTTTTTTACGAATAAAAACCATTGTCGTAAGAGAAAAGGAAGTGAACTACTTTCAAAAGCAAATGTTCTGTTCCAGCTACTAGCGTTGTACGAATGCAAATTCGCCTGCCTATTACGTGGTGAACCGGCCTTTAGTTTAACAAGAGCCTCGAATTGGGAAGCTCAGAATCAGATCGAACCAACAGCATTTTACAATACCAAATTTCATTGAAACCAGTCGAGTAGTTTCTGAGGTGAAACATGAGGATGATTCATCGCCCTGATGACGGAGGCAGTATGACCTCTGAAACGTTGGTTAACATCGACCAGACTACACAGCGCAATAACCCAGAAGACAGAAATCTTCATGAGGATGATCGTTTTACGTGGTAATGGAATGTAATCGGCTGCAGGGCACTTCTTGCTGCGTTGCCGCACGGCGACCGTCAACTTTCTTCACTTTAGTCACGGTTTCACGGCAGATCCATTGTCGTGTGCTGGAGAGACCACGAAAGGAATCGGGCATTTTTTGTGTATGCCCCACCATTTGAAGAACACTACGAAACCTCTATCAGGACAACTGGTTCTCGGGGCAGAGGTTCAAACCCCGGCCCCTCCAACTGTCGAAACTTTCTCGACTGTGTAATCTTACAAATTGTATCTCTTATTGAGATGTTCGATGTCCCCTACGATGAATCATTTTTGAGAAAAGTCCATGAAGTTAGATTGGAGCTTTGTGAAAAATAATTGTGGACCGATAAGAGGTAAAGTTAAACTACGAAGATGGCTGTCTTCTAGGTTATTGAACTGCCTAGTCTGAAACGTCGGCAAACTTATACCAGACTACGCAGTTCAATAACCTAGAAGACAGCCATCTTTGTACTCGCCGCCGTGAAAACGTCGAATCCTGCTAAAATTAAATTCAACCGGCAAATGCCGCGTACAATAAACAACACAAGCCGTTCAGTATAATTCAGGAAATGAAATTTGCGGGAAACAGACGAACTTTATTTCCCCTTTAGTTCGCTGAACGATTACCCGCTATCGACCAGGGAAGCCTTCGGGATTTTCCCAGTGGCCACAACCGCTTCCGTTGTCCCTCAGCAGCTGATACAGCGTTGTGGAATGAGTGCGGAAGTTTAGATATTTGCCGGAAAGTGCTTGATACCGCGATTGTGGATCTGTGGACGCTTTGTACCCAGAGCCGGCCTGGCCACATTAGGTACTTGCACGTGACGGGGCTCGTGTACTCATTAAACAACGGCGCCTCAACTGTGTAGACCGTCTGTAGTATCAAATGATTGGGTGCTTCTGCAAGGCAGCGGTCGTGGTCTCTTTTTAAATTCTATTTCGACATTTGCTTGGGTTAAAACCACGAAACATGGAACAGCCGAACTGTCCCCAGCACAGGAGCTCCGCAGACCAATTTGCACGCATTGGCGAATATATTCCCATATAATATTAAAACGAATCTCAGAGAAACTGAGTTTGCCTGGCTGGGCATAGCTTTCGGTGGCGACGAGCTTGCCTAAAGACGGCAGTGAAACTTTGAGTTGCACGAGAGCCGCGTGGCAACACGCTTCTACTGCAGGCGCAGGGGAGAATGGAAGCATAGCTCCACCACGCCACTGACATCGGTACTGTGGTGTTGCGCGGGTTAGCGTCATCGCGCCACCGCCCTCTTCGCTCATTGAATGGGTGCGCGCCGGGTGAACAAGCAGTGGCAACGCAGAGCAGAACAAAGCGTCGGTAATGTCGCTGGCAGCGAACGCGTAGCTTCCTGTATGGTCATTTCTGGGCGCGTGGGAATGCAAGGTCAATGCAGGGACAAGCCAGTGTATGTTAAAATTGTGATCACCCCGCCACTT